AACCCTACCAACAGGTGTCCCTTTGGTGCCTACAATCTCCTCAGCGCTGCCCACAGATGCTTCGCTTACAGATTTGCCTACAACCCTACCAACAACAAATGTCGCTTTAGTACCTACAATTCCCTCAGCGTTGCCCACCGATACTTCGCTTACAGGTTTGCCTACAACCCTTCCGGCAGAGACCTCTTTAGTACCGACAGTTCCCTCAACGCTGCCCACCGATACCTCACCTCTTGTGTCTTCGCCTACCACTCTACCTGATTTTACTAGCTTTTCAGTAACGACAAGTGATGCCGCCACTGTGCCAACTGAAACCCCTAATTTGCCAACGTCTACCTCATTGACTTCTTGGCCTGTCGGGACGGTACCTACTTTGCTTCCAACTACCACCTCCGATCCGATATCATCGCCCAATACCTATACCGGGACAACAACCGGTGGTGTTACAGCCTCAAGCGTTATTTCCGACCCTATTCCTTCAAAAAGTGACACAACTCAAGGTCTGGTTATGCCTACACAATCGGACGGTAGCTCCGTTGCCAGCTCGACAGTAAATGCTACTGGGTCGGTGCCAACTGGTGCTGGGAGTTCCCAAACTTCTGTTCCTGAGCCATCTAAGTTTGGGCCAACGGGACCCCTTCCCCCAACATCTACCGGGGTCACATCAGCCGAGGGAATAGGGAGTGCCACTTCACATCCTCCAAAAATCTCGGCTCCCGTCCAGACCGAGGCTGGTACTGCAACGACCACACCTGGGGCCACCACAGCGACTGTGCCGAGTACTCAGTGGTTCCCTCCCGTGCTGTCTACTGCCCCTGCTTCAACAATGGTTACTCAGGTTGTCACTGCCATTCCTGGATCCACCATGCTCAGTTCAGCTACTACAGCCCCATCAGCGGAGACGGGAATTCCCAGCAGTTACCCCAAGGTTGTCACACCAGCCGGAGGGATGCCACCGAGGCCTGGAAACTCTAGTCTTGTTCGTGTTGGTTTCAACCATCAGCTGAACTATGGATTCGTTGTCAAGAATTCCGTAGCTGTTGCTCAGATCTTTGAGTATCTTCCTAAAGGAATCGCTTATGGACTTGATATCGATAAGGTGATCATGCACCACCTTCAGCCTCTTGATACGACCAAGACAAAAGGATATATTACTACTTTGGCATTCATGTTCGTCCCTGACAATTTGATCGACAAGTTGGATTTGGATCGTAGGAATCCAAACTCCAGATTGTTTCAGTCTGAAGAGGCTCCAGTTAGGCAGATGATCGACCTCCTTGATCCCACGATTTCTCTTCGCGCAACTGAGGCAGAATTGGCGGGTGAGGGTACTGGTATGCCCGGTGAGGGAAGTTGGTTGGGTGGACCTGGAGACGATCAGGGAGATGCGAGCAATAGCGATGGTGCCCCCTTGGGCAGCAATGGCTCAGAAGGACCTGTTTCCAAGAAGAGCATTGGTGTAGGACTCGGGATTGTGGCTGGTGCAACTGTCTATGGCGCTGCCATGTTCTTCGTTGCCCGAAGGTATAGACAGAGGCGCAACAGACACACCAGGTCGAGCTCAATTGGCCGTAGCGTCTCACCAGGAAGCAACCCCGCTAGCGGCTTGATGGGCGGAGCAGGCCCTATTATGCACGGTGCCAGAAGTCCATATGGAACTGTTGGCGTGCCGCATGACAAAAGGGGAAGCAGGGGGAGTGGAAGGGCCAGTGCTAGGACACAAAACATCTCTGGGCCCATGATGGCGGAAAACTCTTTGGGTTGGAACTAGCGGTTGTAGTCGACATCTCCTCGGAATTGGTCGACTTTTTTAATACTGGGCGTGTTACCGAAAAAAAAAGATGCTGGATGAGAAAAGTGATCCTATTCCAGGCATTTCCGGAAATGACTGCTCCTTCTAGCTTCACACTTAGATAATTACTTTTTTTTTATACAATCGTTCCCCCACGCGTACCGTTCCGGTGTATCTATAAATCTCTCACAATTATCATTCACCCGGTTCCTTCTTTTTTCTGGCGGGATTCGAACTTCTTGTTTCTACCCTTTTTTTCGGACCTTTTTCTGCAACCTATATTCTCTTCTTTAGTAACGGCGTTGGGTTGATTTTTATCCCTTGCTGTGTTTTTTTCCCTTTTTTTTTAGCCTTTAACTTATTTTTGGTTGGTTGTGTTATTTGTGGGACGGGGAATTTTATCTTTCGACATCTGGTTTTTAGAATCTTTGCGTTTAAGTAGGGGAAGGTAAGGGAATGAAGAAATGATTGTGAGAGATTAACTTGATATGCTTTCCTGCCCCCCTTTTTCTCTCTTTTTCCTTTTCTGTGTATTTTGTATTTCTTTGGTTGATTGATCGTGGAGATACTGTGTCGTACGTTATCTGTGCGAGTGTATAAAGCCCCCCTCCCATTTGTTATTACTATTATTATCATTATTATACCCCTATACTACTGCCACAAGCTGCCCATGCCTCTATATTTTTTTCTTTGTTCGTCTGTACTTTTTTTTCTTTTCCTGTAACATTTCCTGGCTGTTTGAATTGAGAGAAATGTGTATTCAATCGATACCTGTGTTCTGAGTGGAGAGAAGTATCATACTCCCTTTTTCCCATCTTTTTTTTTGCGGGGGGGTCGGCTCCTTTTCTCATTTTGATTTTCATTGTGGTTTGGACATAGCCCGTGATGGTCTAGTAATGTTTGCAGTAAAGAACGGTACAGTCAGAGTGATGACATGGTCTCATCGAGGGTGAATTATTTGGGTCGTGGATTATAATGGAGTTTTTTTTTTGAAATCACTTTCCCCTCTCCTTTGTGCCTCCTATACGGGTATATCCATCCCGCTTTTATTCCCTGAGAAGGAGTTTGTGCCGTCCACCAATACCCTACCATAGGTATGATATTATGAGCATGGTAGAGATGTATAATATGTATAATAAGTAAGCCACCACCAGCACAAGAAGAGAAGGAAACATCATACGAAGCGTCACCCCCACCAACAAACCCAGCAAGCAAACACAAACGAACGACCAACGAACCGACCAATCCAAAAACCAAATCCTCTGGTGAGAGAAAATTTAATTCAATCTGGTCTAATCTATAGTAATTTAATTCTACTTCAATATGCAGCACTGTGTACTGTGTATATATACGCCGTCCCCGGACCTTCCACCTGCGGTCGAGTGTTGATGGGAAGCGTTTCCTTCTTTATTGATTGATATCGTAGGGGGATGTCTTTTATATATATACTGTATATATATACGATCCCAGAAACCCTATCGTCCGCCGCGTCACTAAAAGCAAATCTAAGCAATCGGTCTCTGGATACCTACAGTATCGCAAGTTACATGTTCGATGGTATGGTGCTTATATCTGGAGATCCTGTCTTCATCTTCATCGGGGTAGTAGTAGTAGTAGTAGTAGAAGTAGAAGTAGCACTAGATGATACCGGAAGCCCAAAGCACAGCCCAGAACAGAACGGTATAGTCTATCGTATATACTCGGTCGGTAGATTGGTTATTTGATAACCCAACGAACCAACCTTCCAGAAACAAAAAACGAAAAGTATCATCCTGCTTTGTACAGTACATTACAGTAGTAGTAATAAGTCAAGTAAATTATCGCCCTATTGGTATTTAGTAAACCGCACTCTCTCGAATATGGAAATTGACACTTTTATTTCATTTTCTTTATATTTGTTATCCCATGATCTGCTGAAGAGAAAAAAAGAAAAAAAAAGTGGCCAACTTGTAGCCTTCCTGAGAGCAGGTATTGTTCTGCAATAGAATGATGAAGATTGCAATACAGTACAGTACAGTACGGTGAGGTGAGGTGAGGTGAATATTGCTCCTATCCTACATGTACAGTACGAGTACAATACCGGTATCCAAAACCGCATGCTCCCTTGGAGAGTGAGCGACTTTTAGTTGCGTATTATATGATACTTGTACAACCTAGCTTTTTACTCACTGGGTTGTCATATCATACACGGATGGATAGATAGATATATTGTGATGGACTAGGGGTTAGGTCTCAGGTATCGATTGGCGGGGGCCTAAATGGTGTGTATATGCGGTAGGGTATCATAGATGTGGCACTGGGAAAGATGGTTTTGATGGGGCTTCGTAAGGGTTTCCATTTTGATTAGATTTAGCTGCGGGTACTGTACAATCTAGGATGGTAAGTCTACCGGTAGTGCGTTGTTGGTGGGGTGCCATCGCGGTTTGTCGGCTCGGTATGATAACTGTATCTGTGCTCGAGTACAGTACGGTACTGCTTTTGTAAATGTAGTGTGGTGTAGTGTGGTCTACTTCTTTCTCTCCCTTTTCCTTCTTTTCTAATAATGGTGGTTGGGGGGGGAGGGGTTGAGTTCCGATTGACTGACTGACGTTGAAAAAACAAAAACATGTATGATAGATACTCGTACAGTATCATATCATGGACTATAACTTATATAAGTTAGACTAGAAGAGAGGGACGCGAGTGGGGTGCTGCGTACTGTACGAGGACGGTATTATAGTGGATACAGCACTGGACGGAAGAATTATCCGGACTGCTGTGAACCGTCGGGGTGGGATACGGATACGGTAGACTGACTACTGTGGTGTACGGGTGGTGTAGCAGTACTAGTACATTACATTATGATAATATCATCAATAATCGAGAGCGAATTAAAAATAAAAATAAAAATACATTACGGCAACAACAACACACTCCACATATATATCCCAGGCGACGGGCGGATCGTTAAATAATTTACCGCATTCATGGATAGATTACGCCATATCCTGGCTGGCTGGGCCCCGCCAGCTGTCTGTCTGTCCGTCTGTACGAGTAGTCTTCACTGACTTTGCTCGCGCATAAATACAGCACAAGACCTCAGCACGGACCCACTTACTCGCTGCTTTGCTTCAACTTTACCGCAACCCGGGGATTGCGCGCCAGCCGGTCCAGTGCTTGCCCGCGCGGGGAAGGGGAAGGGGAAGGGGGTGGGGGTTGTATTCTAGACTAGCGCCATCATGCGCAGTCAGGGCTACTCTGTGCGAGTACACTCGTACTGTGCTTGTACTTGTACTGTGTGTATTTTACTCTGCTGGTACTCGTATGTACTCGTACTGTACAGTGCTCGAGTGGTTCCGCTATCGTGCTGTATGTGATGTCTTTACGCTATACCCGTTTCCCTCCATGACTTTTTGTGCTCTGTGGGTGACTGCCCGCCTGCCTGGCGGGGCAAAAGGGTTTTCGGCCGTGGTGGGGTCATCTATAATTGTTACCCTATACCAATGTGATTGCCGATCGTCGCCATAGACACGCATCCAGATCCAAATCTCATCTGCGGTTCGTTTGCTACCGTGCAACAAATGGGAAGGTGGTGGTGGTGGTGATGCTTTTTTCTTCACTGGATAGGGTAGCGCAATGATGCTTTGCTGAGCCTCATGCCAATCAGCTTAGCTAACCGCGACTCGCTCATGCACGCTATAGGTGAAGTGGGTGGGGAGCGGGAATGAGATTGTTGTTTTTCCTTCAGTGAGCCATGGATACTGCTCTCGTTACTGGCTCTTGATATGGTAACCCTCACGAGAGGGGAAAATAAATAAATAAATAAGACCCTTGGTCAAACAGGGTTTCTCTTTGCCTCTTGAACGTGCCCCCTCCCCGCGCGGGCCACTTATTGCGCAATACCCCCCCCCCGTTCTATGATATTATGATATTGAATGATAGCAGTGCCGCAACCCTTAGGAAAGTCGAATTTCGTTTCACCAACACTTTTGTCCGAGTGACTCCATCATACTTGCACAGCGCATCCTGGCCTTTTTCTCGGTTCCAGATGCACTGATGCAGTGAGCAGGCAAGCAATAGGGTAGCGCGTTGCGGGGTTGAATCGTTCATTTGTTTGTCTAAAGGAGTGTATATAGCGTAGAAATAGAGCGACCCATGATTTGAGGAAGGAGAGAGAGGGAGCGTGTGGTTTCTTCCCCCAACCAACCATATAGCTTGATATCCCTTTCCTTTCGGGACCGGGAAGGAAATAAAACACATACGAGTTGATCGATTGGATGCGGAAGGGGTGTACGAGGCACCGCACCGACATCTAGAAAGGAAACTGCACCCCTCCTCCCCTGATAAACTTGAAGGAAAGGGTTGAAGGAAAAGGTGGAAGGCGACAAAAAACCGCATGGAGCCCGGGACCGTTGAGATGCAAGTACTTGTACCATACGGCCCAAGGTAAGCCAAGGGAGGAAAAAAAAAAAAAGACGAAAACAGCAAACACCGACTTTTCCTTGCTTCAATTGGAAATCCCCCTTCAAAACCTACTAAGGAGAGGAAAGTGAGTTTCAAAGACAACATGTTCCTTTTCCACCGTTAATTCATTTCGCCGTTAAGTAATGATTCAGATAGTGGAGGTTTCTGATTTTTGATTTCGTGACACCGTCGATCTCTGGTTAGCGCTTGAGACCCGTGGTCCAAGTGAGGCTAACCAATCGCATTAGGTCCCCGCAGTCGCCGCAGTCGCCGCCACAAGCCCGTTGATCCCAAGGAGGGTCACCTCACTGGTCCGCCGGGAGATGTTAGCCGTGTTGCTCTTTTTTATTACCTCTCCCTCCCTTTTTTCTTTTTCTTTCTCGGAGCTTCGATATGGATGCAAGTGACATTATGCATGCCATACCTGAAGGGCCTCCTCATTTGATGTGCGCGCCGAAGTTAGAGGCCGGAAGACTTACAATACTAGAGTCGCGTTTGGCGGTATCAACTTGGGAAATCCGCTATGGCGTAAAGATATCTCTTAGCTCAAGATTGTAAAGACCCCTTTGCTGGGTATAGAGAACGTTCGGGCCAGAGTGCAGGGAAGGTTTAAAAAAAAGATGGGACGTAATATATTCATACCGTTCACCATAGCCATAATCACTACGTATCCCTTTTGGTTAGCAGTCACATTATTTTTTCCTTATCGAGGGGGGTGGTCGAGGTAAGGTAGAGGAGCTTTTTTTCTTTTTCTCTCCCATTTCCTTTTTCCCTTTAGAGCGTCCGTAGATGCATGAGAAGAGGGTTCAAAAGCTTGGGGGAGACAAGTAAAGTAAGGGAAAATAGACTAGAGGGATAACTGGGGGATATTTACCCTGTGATCGTGAGCTTACTGCGCTCACCTAGCGACATCTGGGGAACAGCTTCATCCCAGCCTGCACGAATTGAGCATGTTAGAAGCATAAACCCTAGGCCAATTATCAAAGGTGAGGTGCGGAGGGTGTTTGCTGGGAAGCTCGCCTTTGATAACCTTGCCAATTCCGATTTTTGTTTCGAAGGGCATGCGACGTTCGAACGAAGAGTCGAATCTTTCAATTCGTACGGATTAGCAACTGTACTGTGTGGAGTTGTTGGACCGGGTGGGGGGGCTCAGTACTCGGTCCCGTCGAGCAGTTTGCCATTGTAATGTATGGTGACACTGTCACCCTTTTTGGGATAGTTCTTGCCGTCACCCGCCATGATGCGCTGAATTTCCACTCCCATGACGGGGTCAATTGCTTGATGATGGGATCTGGAGACGGGAAGGGGGGGGGTTGAGGATTTGGTAATGAGTTGGAATTTGGAATTGGGGAAGGTAGTTTGATCTCGCAGAGTACAGAGGGGTGGTATAAAGTCAAGATAGTGATACTGTGCTTCCAATCGAATATTTGAATGTTAAGGTTAAGAAAGGGGAGGAAAGGGGGGAGGGCAGCGGCTTATATTCAAGGGCAAACCGAATGATTGAGGGAGAAGTTCAGAGCGAGCGGTAAATTCAATCTGACCGGCAGGAGAAGGGGTGGAGATGGTGGATAGGGGGTGATTACATTAAAGATGATAGGAGGGATGGGGGGGGGAAAGGGAATGGAGGAAGGGGAGCGGAAGAGAGGGAAAGGGACCGGAAAAGCATCTATAGAGGTATTCATTGGCAGGAGGAGCTTCCTGGGGATGTAAGGAGGGCCAAGCACGCGGCTATCGTGGTCTACTAGGAAGTGTCTCTAGGTGATTGATGGTACGTTCTATCATACATCATCCATAGGTTTCGCACAGCCATAGCCTCTGGCATTCCCTTTTGATCCGTCGGCTTGTGTGATGGTCGGTTTAGTTGAGCAGGCACGTACGGTAAGCTAGTGCCTGCGTGCAGGGAATCAGGGAACACGGAAGCGCAAAGGCGGAAATAGCATTAGTTGCAGGAGGATCTATTCAGGCTCCGATGGTTTGGGGATTGACATGATGATGGTGAGCTGTGCTAGGAGGGTGGATGGGTGGATTTGATGGATGATATGCCGTATGTCGGAGGTGTATTTTGGTAGGCCCGACAGGTGAGTTGAATTAAACTTTGTTAAATCCCAATTGCTTGGTAAGTCAGTTGAGGAGGAGTGTAATCATGTACGGGTTATGGGCGAGTGGGTGTATGAACTGTACTGTGCTCGTACATGGCTGTACAGTACATGACTGTAAGGTTAGTACTTCTAAGTTTTTTGAAATTTTTTTTTGATTGAGCTGACTGGCAAGCCTAGCCAGCTAGCCAGGGATTCAAGTCAAGTCAGTCAGCCAAAGACGGTTCTGCACCCTTGCGAGAGCGCCGACCGGGGTGTGATCACTCCGGGTGTCGTCCAATGGCGTTATTTCCTGTTACCTGAGATGTGGAAGTTTTAGACTCAAAACTGGTGTCGTGATCCAAATGTCGTTGGACGGGAGAGAGGGGTCCGGGCTGAATCAAGGGATTGAGCGGAGACCTAAGTACAGGTAGTGTTAACTAAGCATGGAAAGGCTTTGGTTACTTGATCTTACTTGATTGAGGTGTGAAAGGGTGCGAGGCCGGACCTGGAATTGAGGAATCTAAGCGCCAGCTTGATCATTATTCTATGCCCTCACCATAACTTGAGGGCACACGGTTTAGACTTTGCGATTTCGCATCCGGAGTCAAATTCTAGCGATCTCATTGGCCCAGAGCCCTGTTTGACCCACATCCAGAGTCTTTTCCCAAAGTCCCTAGTTTCGTGGGCTTATGATGCAAGCGACAACCTCTGGTAACACCATTGATAGCCCCCGCCTATGCCCGGCTGCACGAACTCTCTAATGCAGAAAACATGGACAGGCAAGACCTGCGCCCTCTGGGTAGCCTGGCGTCAGCGTTGGATAGGCATGGGATACTTGGCTGTGCGGAGGGTTCTGTGCGTGTGTCGTGCTTGGAGCGTCCGAACCGTCCGTCGATCAATGACTTTTCGGTAGATCCACAGGTGGATCACTCATCAGCCCATTGTTCAATCACAAGTGAAAGTACTAGATCGGCATAGTCAAATCGGATTATATCCTTATTCGTTTTCACCCTGCTGGAGTATATCCTGATACTGGAGGTCGTATCTAATGTATGCTACGCATGCTCAATATATTCTGCCCATTCCCTACGTGCTATGAACTCTCAATTTTAGTTAGCCTTCCAATTTGCTAATGTATCTGGTGCTGTTGACACGCTGAGTGTGAGGATAAATTGTAGCTGATGTTCTATGAGCCCAATAAACTGATCAGGGTAGGTATGAAATAAATACAACTTGAGAATTAAGATCTTCCATTGATAGGATGTAAAGAGAAGGTGATTTCTGAAGATACTATGAAGATGGAAAAATATAAGAAGGAATGGATATTTTGGCACCTTGCTGACAGTCTCTTTACTTCAATATTGGTCTAGTAATACTTACCTGATTTTAGTACTTGTGGCAACTCAACTTGAAATAACTAATAGTTAGGAATTATATATTAAATGAAGGGTAATATCAGAGTTAGCTTCTCTTTAACTCTTCAAGGTCCTACAAGTGTTGAAGGAATATAGAAGTACTAATTCTGAAATTATCTTTTCTGTTTTATCTACAATCATATTTTAAATATATTTTAAAATCATAAATAAAATTTATTCTATAGGTCTTAAGCTAACATATTTATCTATTGATTCTACTTCTAATGATATAAAAGGTTCTTCTCAATTTTATTCTTAGAAATGCATTCTGAATACAAAGGGAATACATTTTTACTTTATAGCTTTTCTTGAATGCTTAAGATACAACTATTTACTTATAGCTATCAGCTTGTATTTTTAGTGGAATTGATAGTTTTTTCTAGTAACTATTTGTTTTTCTAAGTAGTTTTCTTAAATACTTCAATCTCAATACTCCAAGATCATACATCTCAGGTTAAGCCAGATTCTTATAAACTTATTTGAGTATTAATTAGTCCTTTTCTCTACTAGTATAAACTTTTGAGAAAACTCTACTTATAATTCCTAATTAATAGTATTAATCAAGCTATATGGAATAAATTTCTACTATCACTACAGTTTAGGTTAGTTTTAGCTTCTAACATTTTTCTGTACTATTACTTCTTTTACATTTCATAACTACTAAAGTAAACTACTAGGATAGGGATAATAGTTCAACACATTCTTTTATAAAATCTTACAGAAATTTTTTGAACTATCAACTATAAGCAATCAACTATCTAACAAAAAAAAAACTTAAAATATAAAAATTCTGAATAGAGATAGATATCATGTCTTTCTCAACCTGGTTAAGCTGTCAACAGGATACTTTCGATAGTATAGTTACTGTTATGGGAGAAATTCTGCATGGTCACTATGGTTGCCATTGTGAAACAAAAGTACTTGCTGCTTATTCATCTTATTTCTATTTAGCCGAGAAATTTTTGCGAGGACACTTGTGACATTACGGTCCGGGGTTTGGATAGGGATCTATGGCACTTATTCATTCATTCATTCATTCATTGAACTGCACTTGCAGTTCATCCTACTTGCCCAAGCTAATAGAGTCTCCTGCAAAAATGCAGACTGGATATGGTAACTGGCGAGCTCGTTATGCAAACCAAGAGTTGGGTCTATGATGGGTCTCCTGGTAGAAACGAATCGAGAGGGGTTTATTGTGCAAACGGACAAACAAATGAAATTTTTTGTCTGTGATACTATAAATACCCTTTATTTATTTATTCATTCATTTATTCACATCTTTATTATTTTCATTGTTGTTTCTATATCACTGTGGGATGATGATGTGTCTGATACTATATCCTGTCGATACAACGTTATTTCACCCTTACTAATAACTTATAATTGAGTCGTCACCCCACTCGGAAAGGTCTTCCTCTTCGTTTCTCCAAAAAGAAAGGAATAAAGAAAAACAAACCCCACATCTACATACAGACAATATCATACCACACACAACTCGACACCGAACGCTCACTCACTCACTCACTCACTCAATCAATCAATCAATAACCAAATACACCACAGTCGTACATACATACACACATATATACAGTGTACACCATGTCAAGTGTGACAATATCCGCTCTGAACCGCATTTCCCGCGAACGTCTGGGCGCTTTGCTACTAACCCAGCCCAGCGAGGAGAAAGTGGTAGTAATAGACGTCCGTGATTCAGGCATGTTTTTTTCTTTTTTTTTTTCCTTTTTCTTTTCTTCTTCTTCTCCTTCTCCTGCCCCTCCCTTCCCCTCTCCCTTAGGTTCCTATCCTGACGAACAGGACGCAGACCACATCGGCGGCCACATAAAGTCCTCTCGCCACGTACCATCCAGAAGCCTAGACTATACCGCAGCAGAGCTGGCCCGGCAACTGGAGGGCGTGGAGAAGGTTGTTTTTCACTGCGCGTTGTCGCAGGAGCGTGGACCCAGCGCTGCATTGAGGTACCTGAGGGAGAGGGAGAGGCTGTTTGGCCGGGGGAGTACGAAGGGGGGGGAGGGAGAGGGGGCTGTCGATGGGAGGGAGGATCAGCGGGAGGAGGAGAAGGTTAAGAAGCAGGAGGTACTGGTTTTGGAAGGGGGGTTTGTGGAGTGGCAGGCCAAGTACGCTCTCTCCTTTCTCTGCGCCGTGATGCTCTGCTTGCGTTTTTGTGGTATTGGGGTTAATAGAATGAGGGATAATGTAGGTACGGTAATGATGAGCGCTTGACGGAGAATTACAATAAAGAGCTCTGGGAGGCGGGGTATTAGGTTTTTCTCCCTACCTTCTTCTGTCTCCTTTTTTGCGCCCCTTCCCTCTTTTTTCTTTAACACCTAGATGTTGAAGTATCATACTGTAGCCCGTAAAACGGAAGCCATAATAATTACCCTTACTACCACGATCTCCCGCATCGTGAGCTCCAAAATTAAGGCACAAAATCCCAACACGTGATGTCAATATTTTCCCCATGTATGATACTTTCCCATCCACCCATCCACCCCTCTCTACCTACACTGTGCACCCCAAACCCCACAACCACCGTACTAGGTAAAGAAAAAACACACCTTAACCACAATTATCCATCATCTCCTTCCCTCCCCCAAGCGGGTTAAAGGTTGGAAAAAAAAAACTGTTCTTGCAGCGAAGATCGGTAAAACAAGTCACCAAATCTAAGCAGCTTGGCTATCGCTTATCGAACGAACCTCACCTAGTCCGCATAGCGCATTTTAAGACAAAAACCGGCAATTTGATATTCCGCATGGAAGGGGAGGGAAGGGGAGGGAAAGGGTAACCTTAAGCCATTCTAGACGTGTCCGGGTTTGGGGTGCAGAGTAGAGAGGACGGCATGGTATGGTAGCTCATGCAGGGCTTTACCTGAGGTGGGCGGCCATGAAGGGTAATAGGCTGGCTTAACGGTGGTACTCGCAGGTCATAAGTGGGTGGATGATGAGGTGATGTTAAAAGTGCAAAGAGTGGTTATGTATGATAATATTGATGGTTTGTGGATGGGGAGGGGGTAAGGTACGGTAGGCAGGGTGCTTCATGGTCTTGGGAGTGAAGGCGAATTGAATTGAATTGATTGGGGTTGTGTATGAAGCTATTGTCACCTTGAGTTGAGTGAGCGCGGTATGCTCGCTGTGCGGATGCATGGGACCGTATGGTACGACTGCGGTGTTCTATAACACAAGGAACAGCGTTGCATCGAACTTGTAAAGACGATATTCCATACGGTACAGTACTTTCAAACCTGCACTATACACAAACATCAGTGAAGTATAGCGGGGTGCCTATACGTATCCCAAACACTGGGCCAGACGAGCACACCTCCAACCCACACAAACAAGGACTCCCACCACCATTCTCTGACACCACCATCCCATCCTCCTTCTCCGCATTATACGACCGCAAAGTACGAGTACAGTGCACAAGAATCCCCCCGCGCCTACCAAAATCCACCACCACCACCATCACCACCATCACCACCACCATCACCACCATCACACACACCACCACGGAACCTCTGCCGTACCCGAATACCCACTCTACCACTAACCTCTCCGCATGGACAGAAAACACGGTAGTCACAACCACCACACCACACCACACCATCAACCTAAATACCCGGAACCAACCCAACCTAAAAGAGGCCAGAAAAAGAAATGGTCCCAAAAGTCGTCGACACGATACGATAACCCACGGTAGTCCAATCCTACAAGCGATCGATCCCTCCAACAGTATATTGCCGGGTTGAAGCCCAATCAACTCATGAGCCCTCTCCCGCACGTCCAACAGGGTTTGCAATATGAGAAGAAAAAATAAAAAAGGGAGACAAGAATCACCCCCCTGGTCGTTTTCCACCTTGTCAAGGGTTTAGGGAAGGGTATCTTCATCTACCCAAGTTGTACAGAGGGATGAAATTGAAAATAGCATCATATCGTGAGAGCAAAATTTGGGTATGTTAGCCCGTTCCTGGAGCTGACTCCTTCGCCAGTATACACACTGATCCTAATTGCCGTGGACCGAAGGCGCTCTTAGCCTACCTCTCACCGAAAAAAAAAGAAAAAAAGAAAAGAAATTCGAGTTATTTTCATCCTAGCACAATTAGTACCGCTAGTAAGTACAACATCTGTACATGGCTGTTCTTTCCAAATGACTGATTGGTGACAGTAATTGTTTCAAGTGTCTACAAATCCTTAGCCTGTGCACTCTGGATGTGAGCATCGTAGGACCCCTACAGAAACGGGACGTTATAAGACATGCCAAAAGAGGTCATCATCGAGCTCGAAGTTCTCGGCCAGGAAATGTATGCATGTCACCATATAATGACCGGTGACCGACCCAAAATTTACCGCTGTACTTCAGAGTAGAATACTGACTGAATAACCGAATAGAGAAATATTGAGCAGTCTATGGATGCCAGTGAATGGCCAACCAGGGCCTGGAGCCAGAACTATAGGGTTAGTTCGGCCGATACTGGTAAACTGGTACTACTGACGTAAACCGGTGGATAAAAAAACTGGCAAGCATTTCTCTCATCGAATGGCGACTTCATGGGCCTTCCTTGTATGTACTATGGAAGCACAATGAAAGAAAGAGAAACGTAAAGATCCGGAAGATCCACGAACAATCGTATCGGTTGCCCTCCTCTCCTCCGACCACTCTACCCCCTTCCGTGGGCCAACAACGAAGCATACCTGGAAGGACGGGCGGAATGGGCGGAAGAAAGGAATAACCGACTTTGTGGGAAATGGGAAAGGTTCCTGCGAGGTCTCCACATTATCTGGAGAGGCCGCAGGCGCTCTCCAGGTGGAAATGGAGAAAACTGTTTCCAACTCCCTCGAGACCTCAAGGATCTCGCGCTGGTATACTCGAATACAAGCACTCGAGTCGTATCGAGTGCCGTAGCAGGGGAAAAAAACCCCGCAGAGGGCATCCCTGTCTGATGCTCTGCAGGGTTTGTGGGTGTGGTGCGTGGCGTGGGGTGTGGTGGGATGGTTAGGTAGGTGGGGATGTCGTACATACAGAAGAATGGCGTTATAGGGGGGTGGGTTGTTGATGCGGAAGGATATTTTTATCAATTCCACATGGCGGGGGTCCGGTTGGATGAATGTGATCATGGAAGATCACTCGGTCGCCGAAATACTTGCACGGGTGTTGGGCGTAAGTTGACCCGCTGTGCCCCTGGGCGACACTTGTATACTTGTAGGGGGACTTATTTTTGGTGCATATATTTGCTTTCTGATAAGTGAGCGGGTAGATTGATTGAAGTTTTCCCGATTGCAGGCAAGAGTTAAAAAATTTTCACTCTCCTCTCGTTTTTTCTCCCCAAAACTTTCTTCCCGGTAAAAAAAAAAGCCTTGATTTTAAGTGCTTACTACAGACAGGAAGATCCGGGTCAACTATTTCCAGTTTACCGTCAATATACCACACCCGCGCGGCGAGGTTGAAGTGGGACCCTTCCCATGCGAATCACCTCCGCGGATACCGGCTTGAATCCTACGGGGCAAGTAGCATATCACCTATCCTAGGTACTGGGGCACTTTCCCCCTCGCATAGATTGAGTTTAGCCCATCTGTAGCTTAGTCTAACTGTATTGCATTCTGCGTGAGAAAGAAGGGAAGTGGGAAAAAAAAACGGGGCTTTCCTTTCCCTTCCATCAAACCCAACCAACCAAATGGAAATCCCATTTTTCACCCCCCCCACCCTCCCTCCATCTCGATAACGCTTGCAGTGATTGATCCCCCATATGGTAGATTAGATAAAATTAAGAGGGGAAAAAAAGTAGATAAAAAAGGTAAAAGACAAAGAGACGAATGTAAGGTACATAATGATGTACTGTACCGATGGAGTACAGCAAAGAGCGGAAGGAAGCCAGAAGAAACGAGCAGAAGTGTACCAGTATAGTACTTGCACCCGTACAGTGACAGACGTTATTATAGCCTAAGTCAAAGCACGATTCTCAATCACAAATACCAAACGCCAAAAGCCACCACGAAGCAAGCGAGCAACAAAAAAGCCCACGAGAGAGAAGGAAGAAAAAGAAAAAAAAAGAAAAAGGCACGGAAATGACTGACTGACTGTGTTCTCCCCCTCCCCCCCAAAAGCACAAAGTTACGCAGATTCACTCTACTTGCCGTTTTCGCCAATACCGAGGTTTTTTTTTTTTTTTCTTCCTGTTTTTTTTGTTTTTTTGGCTACTCACTCGCACGGAGAATCACTACGTTACCGTTCGGGGAGATTGATTGATTGGTATTCCGGACAATTGGTGGTTAATCTTATCTCCCTCTCTCTCCCCCCCCCAAAAAATTGTAGCCCTTCGTATGATAGGTGTTTTCAATTCAACCAGTTGGTCGTCCGATTACGGACGGCCCCTCCAAACGGTTGCCCGCTGTGACGGTCGGCAGTAGTAGTGGAGAGATTCGGACAGGCATCGTAACTGCAGTCTTTAATCATTCTCTCTTTTCAGAGCTCGCGTAGGTTTCTCGTCGTCGAGCGGAAATGTCGTGCTGGAACGAGTTATCATGTCGCAACGAGTAGAATAATTCCTATGGCACGCTGCCGGGAAATGGCTGGGGGTAGTGTGGTGTTTGTACCAGATGATGATGATGATGATGATGATAGTATCTGTGTGCTGGTTACTTGGTTTGAGCGGTGACTTCTTTGATCAACTTGTGCGAACATCTGTACTATAACAGACTGGGGACTAATACTTTTGGTGGGATACTAGGAATAAGAGTCTCTTCTACAGCTCAAACAAGGAAAAAAAAAAAAAATTTCCCCAGTGCCCAGAATTAATGTTTACTCAACATGACTTCTATTCAAGTCTGTGAAAATGTCACAACAGATCATCCAATCACCTACACATCACATTAAAAGATAAGATCCACCAAATAGCATTATAATCAAGTTTTAAAACAAAAATTAGGTAGGCTTCTAGAAGTCACAATCAGACATATCAGTCCACTAATTTTACAGCTGAGAATATGCAGGTTCCTGAATTTACCCACCAGAAATATCGCTAGCAGGCTATTGAGGAAATACTGTTTCACACTTCAATTTTTCTCATACAATCAGAATACTTCTACTTTCTAATACCAATACAAATACCTATTTGAGATAAGTATGACAACTTTCCTCTATCAGATATTTATTTCTTCTGATGACACCCTTAATCTCATCTATCATTAATATTCAATCTTCGCATACTTGAGTACAAGCGAATCTGTTCTGAACTTGTTAAAGTATTAGTATCACTCTCACCTTCGCTACCTACCTCTGAATACTATATTCACTATTTTAACCGGTTAGAAAAAGTGATTGAGCTGCAGTATATCAATTTCTACCACCACTCCTGCCTAGTCTAGTTGCTGTAGACTGGTATTCCTTGTGATATTGCCCTTTTTGTTTGCCAAGATTGTAGGGATAGTCTGCTGGAACAGGGAAAATTGATTATCATACTCCTTTAGGAAGATCAAGCAAGGAAATATCTTGCTCTGAATTAGGAGTCGCCACCTGTCTGGCAGGAGATAAACTTCTCCCTGAATAATATAGGAAAGGGCGGGTATCATGTACTTCTCCACCTGGTTAAGTTGACAGCATGATGTGCTAGGTGCTATGGTTGATGTTGGAACAAATATTGTGTATGGTATACTTGGTTGCCACTCTTAAAAATGCTCGCTTATTTATCATTTCATGCATACTTTTGAGTATTGACTCTGTTCTTTATTTTCTTTTTTCCCCTCCTTTTTTTCTTTTTTTCTTCCTTCTTTTCTTTCTCTCTTCCTGTTGCTTAGACTGAATTTCCGACCCCGTCCGCACAAGTGATTCAATAGCAGGTTTCTCCCGGACCCATTAATAGCGTGAGTAATCAAATAGTGGTTTTTGGATTTCGGCAACTTGAATTCATAATTTGGTGGGACTTCACGAGGGGGTTAACACAGCCTGCTCGAATCGTCCACGCTCGCACTCTAGCTACAATCCCAGTGCGGTTTTGCCGTGTCGCGATGAAGTGCTGTTCAGTATTGTGGCCTGCCGGCCTTGATCCAATAACTACTTGTATAGGTTCGGAGAATTGGCCATGTCATATTGTGGGGCAAGCATTGCATGTCTCGCTCTGGCAGAACAGCGTAAGAACTTTGTTTAGGCAATACCAGCCCGATCGTGAGCGATTGGGCTTCGATCAACCCAAACAAGGCACAGTCGGTTGCTTGTTGCGTTGTCGACAGGCCAGCCGATGGCACATCGGGGGAGGGGGGTATCGTTGACTCTGCAGCCGGGAACCAACGTGTTCTAAACAGTGCCAGATCTCGGTTAATCATAAGAGGTCAATCATAAGTGAGAAGCTTTCTCACGGGACAAACAGAACTTCACACGGATATCACTGCAGTGCCGAGATGCCCATGCCCTCTCGAAAAGTACCGATAGCTGAGACATTTGCTTGCCTTGTACTTGCTTATGGGTGGGGAATAGGGAAGCGGGGAGGGCGCTTCGAGCCAAGAGTCCGAGTGACCCCGGATGAACCTATAATCCCGGTGGCCCGCCGTTCCTTATTTGCTGGCGCTGCAAGGTACGGTCTCACCAAGAGAAAATTATACCCAGTGCGCATGTTTCGACTTGCTCAATCCATGCGTGGTGGTCCAACATCTGCGGCGGGAACAACATATTGCTTCTATCCGCGAACTGGAAGTCACAGCGGATGCGCAGACGGAAAGCCAAGGGATTCAGCCCATCTCACAAGCGAGCACCCAAGTGGTGCTGAGCACAGAAAATCAATGTACCAGTGATGCATGGAGCTCGTGTTTTTTGCGCCGCACGATACTCGTATAAACCCCATCAGACGAAAGACCTTTTTTCCAACCATATGCGCGAATGCCGGCATATAGCTGTCACCTTTCCTCCGTAAGACATAAGTGCTCAATCGTATCGTTCGCATATTGCAATCACCTTAAACCTGATAAATGGTGCAGTGATTGTGATGGGCTGCGCAGCTCACATCCGGTACTCTGCCCTATCCATCAATGCCGGAAACCGGCGTTGCGAGACGGGGGCTATTCAACCCGAGCCAATTGGTGCAGAAGCATTACCGCAAGTATGCTATCAATTCGAGCACCCTTTGGTCAGCACCGCGTCAACTAAAGCGCTCATTCCTTGAGAGTAACTGCCATATGTATGAGCATACGCGGTGCGCCTCAGAATCATAATAATAAGCTATCCCGGTTACAATATCAGCATGTGCCAATGACTTGCGTGAACGGTTCAGTTCTGAAATTACAGGCAGGCATCTGATACGAGAAACCTGAATATGTTAGAGGTTGGTCGGAGCTTGGATCCTCCAAACAACCGGACCAGTCAGCGCTCACCAAGCGATATGACTCCCCCTTGTACCGACTGTTGCCGCCCACAATCATGGTGAGTCACTCGCCAACAATCATGGTTCCTCCTCTTGGTGGATATCATGCAGATGATCGTGATCCTGGCAGACAGTATATCCCAGTGGTCACATCTCTGTGGGATTGAATGCCCCGAAGTTCTAAACGAGATGGATAATTCCACAATTTAGCACAGCCGTCCGCGCATCGGATGCTGCGGGAAAGTCCTTCCTACCACACTGCAACACCTTAAAATTAGCCAGCAAAATCTCGGGAACCATTGAGGGGAACTGCAGCGTTAAACAGCAATTTACCCTGTGATAAGAAGCCCGAGGGGAGATTGCCTTTCGAGCCCCCCAGCCCCGGGTCCCAGAGAATTAGTCTCCGAGACGTAGCCTCCCCCGCACCCTCGTTGAGGGCCGCATATTGAAATGTGGGCCAACCCAGGACAACTCAAAAGAGACGACGTTAGGCATTACGACACCGACGCTCGAATACTACGGCAGTGCCAGTATGCTTGTACGGAGTACCGGCGCCTGCGCCCCTCGGAATAGAAGTGAAGGGGAGACCTTCGGATCAGAGCGGGCTGGTGGACAAGAATCGCTTTACCACTCCATTGGCACAGCTCGCCCGTAGCAATTCGTGGCTCCTGTGATTAGATTAAGCAGAGAAGGAAAAAAGCAAATACTGCACATGTGTTCTGATTGGTTAGCGAATAACAGCCGCTACCTACGCATTCCCACCGCCAGTGGCCCAAAGGTGAAATACCCGCATTATCTGGTTGCACTGGAAATAGAGTTGAGGCAGTCGGGCAAAGTGGGCTCGGTACGGCAGTGCAGCCGGGTTTACAAGAAATTGCTCCACAGAGCCAGATCTCGATGATGATTTGCTACGGAGCACCGCTTTCACAAAAGCTCTTGCCCATCCATGGGAAAGAGTTACCCTTAAAGGTTAATCTAAATTGTCCATGAAGCCGCACCTTGCTTGGCATCCCTGGATCCACTTCGAGTATGATATAATCAGTTAATCTGGTACGGCAGACGGGTAAGCGGTGGCATACAGCCGCCTTGGTAAAGTTCTCCTACTGTGGACTGCTCGTACCACTTCCCTGTGCCTCAAGGGCCGTACCCATTCACAGCAGGGGAAACAGCAAGCGCCCTTCAGATAGCCGTTTTTCTGATATGCCTCCCGGAATATCATAATCTTCTATCGCAGCTCGCCCCACTAAATACTGTAATGGGCAAGTGGGTGTTAGCCAAGTATTTCCAATGCTGGTGTTACTTGGAAGGGTATGAGAGCCTTTCGAACGAGGCTGCAGATGGCCTCAGAAACTCCAGTTCGGGGCCCTTCCGCAGATTCTGGCTTCCTCGGCTGGATTCATATACTGTACCGGTACCCTTTAAGCTCTGTTTCCAAGTGATCTATCGTAAGCTCTTTCGTTCACCGAAACTAGAATGTCACACAAATACCTTTGCGATAATCCACGATCCGAAGGATTATATAATCTACCCGCGTTGCCCATCCTGCGCACCATAACAAATGTGGTAACCCATGCGGTTGGTGGAGGGACAGCATGCCCTGACAGAAACCCAAGTGACAGCTGTGATACATGACGACACCTGGCTGGGAGGAACAACGCCTGGCTTTCATTATTCCCCAGTACTATGTAGAATACTGGTTTCCTGTTATGCTTTGCTTGAAGGAATTATAGTAATCCTCTGGGCAAAACGCTTCCGGAGATTACCAGTAGTCAATACACAAGAGGCCTCTAGAAAGTGAATCCTGCCACTAAAAGAAGAAACGATCTCTCTTGGCTTTAGAGAGTGCTGTAATTGCGTGCCAGATGGCATATATGTGTTAGATACTCGCCCCTATCCGAGGGAAGGGGGTATTCTGAAAGTTTTCCATTCAATCGATTTATTCACACGGGCAGACTAACTAAAAGAGCACCACCGCTCCAGGATCCACTACGGGTGCAGCGGGCAAGCAAAGCCTTTTCTGTACCATGCCCACGACGAAAAAACTCTTCAGACACCATTAACAGAGGAATACACCATCGGGCGGGGGGTTAAATCTTGGCCTTGCTTCCGGCCCACTATATAACTGCGGAGAATGGGGAAAAAAGTGGAAAAATATTTCAGTCGATTGTAAACCTTTCAGTGTGTTGGCCTACGCTTAAAAAATAGTAAATTCATATCATATCCCGAGTGGGTTCTTGCGCCAAGAATCTCAAGAAAATCGCTAAAAAGCTTCATCCCATTTCCCAGATCATCTTGGGGATCGTAGGGAAATTTTGGCAGATACCAGTAGGCTTCCATTGATCCTCAGCTCTCTCTATTCTTTTTTCCCTCTATTATTTTATATTGTTTGAGGGATAAGAATCGGATGAAATCCTTGTGAACCTTTTCATACCTGTGACGGACGCAGCACTAGAATGTTTTTGCCAAGAATGCCATTATCTCTTTGTCGGGCCAAGACAGTCAAATCCGTCAGCTCTCGCGCTAAGACTGGATTTGGAAACAGATAACTGAACTGGGTCGACAACGCGACCCTCAATTTTTTCAGTGCCCGAATGACTCAGCACCCTTTGTAAATTAAATACAGGTGCGGAATGGAAAAGGTGGTTTTCAGTATCGTACGGTACTTGTAGCGTTTCCGTCGGGGTTTATCCCGTTAAGCTTCCTGTTCGGTATGATAGGGAGCTTCGCATGTGAGGATTTTCACATAGGCAGGGCCCTGCGTTCCTCATAGGACACGAACACCTCCCATCGACAGTTCATTTACCTGTAGACAACGTTTCTTTCTATCAATTGGGTTTGGTTTCATGTCTTTCTTCTACTCGAGCACAGCACAGTCAATCTTCTGCAGCGTAACCCGCGATACTAGGAGGTCAGGTCGCGGGTCGATAGCCCCAAGCGTGGCCCCGCCGAACTCACCATCCAACTGCTTGTGCAGTACGAGTAGTGGTAGGCCAAAGGAAATCATCTTGCCACTTCCACACCGGTAGTCTATCCTGTGGATCCCAAATCTCAAATCGTTCTAGGACAGACCACCTTAGCCCGCCGGACGACAAAGTTGACTGTCACAGACCGTCCAAGTGATCAAGGTATGATATCATACCACTTTTTTTTGAAGGGTTTTCCCTTCCGGTTTGTTTAATCATTGTTTCATGAGGTGAGGTTCAGCCCGGCCGTGGCTGGAGTGTCACGTGGTGACACCTGATTCGGCCCCTCAGAGTTACGGCTGATTAAGCAAGAGTGACATTCTGCAGGAACCCAGACGCGAACAGCAGACGCGAACCGTCACGACCGTCTCTCCGAGATTGGTCATTTTTTTCAATTTACCAACAACTCTCCCTCTCATCAATTTAATCAAGCAGCTACTCTAAAAATGTCAGACATCGATGAAATGGAGCTCGATGAGGAGCATGCCCCCGCCAAGGATGTTAACTTTTCGAGTGAACAGAAAGGGAAAAAACTTAGCAAGGCCAATCTGCCAGTAAGTGCTGGGGATACACTCCCTTGGTTTGTTGTCACCATCTCTTGCACATATAATGGAGGTTTCTTTTTCGCATTCCGCGCTAATCCATACAATTGTTTAGGGTGGAGAAGTACCGACCAGACACCCTCAATGATGTTTCCGGACATGAAGACATTCTCACTACGAGTAAGCTTGCCCTCACCGCCTAAGGCTGATGGATTTTGCTAAGTGTCCCTTGCCAGTTAATAAGTTTGTTCAGACAAATGTGCAGTTGCACCTCTCCGAGTCGTTTTTACTTCATTGTGCTAATGCGTTCCAGCGACTTCCCCATCTGCTCTTCTACGGGCCGCCAGGAACCGGCAAAACTTCTACTATTCTTGCGTTGGCACGGCATATTTACGGGGCTCGCAATATCCGCCAACAGGTTCTCGAGCTGAATGCTTCGGATGATAGAGGCATCGAGGTTGTCCGCGAACAAATCAAAACATTCGCATCGACGAAACAGATCTTCGGGGCTTCCACCAAGACGGATGGTCGGCTCGGAAGTTTCAAATTGATTATCCTAGATGAAGCCGATGCGATGACCAGCGCCGCGCAGAATGCACTAAGGAGAATTATGGAAAAGTAACGTGTTCCTATCATTCCTCACTTGTGTTCCCACCAACGATTGGAGCTTTGAACCTGCAAACTGACATCACCACCATGCTCCATGTAGGTACACTGCAAATACCCGGTTCTGCATAATTGCAAACTATACACACAAGCTGAACGCTGCGCTCCTGTCTCGCTGCACTCGTTTTCGATTCTCTCCTCTTCCGATAGATGCTCTTCGCAGAAGAGTTGAACACGTCATCGACACTGAAAAAGTGAAAATCACGCCCTCCGCTATAGATGCTCTTCTTCAGCTCTCCCGCGGAGATATGAGACGCTCGTTGAATGTTCTGCAGGCATGCCACGCTTCATCTACCCCATTAGACGCCGAGGGCCACCCAGATCCTTCTGCGGAGCGGGAAGATATCACCGAGACCCATATCTACGACTGTATAGCTGCGCCACACCCTGAAGATATACAAATCATCCTCAAGACTCTACTCAGCAGTGATATCACGACTAGCCTAAGAACGATTATAGACATTAAGACCAAGAAAGGTCTGGCGTTAGCCGACTTACTTTCGAGTTTGTCAGATGAGTTGGAAAGATTAGAAGTCCCAAAACAAACAAGGATTCTCTGGATGGAAGGTCTGGCTGAGGTCGAATGGAGGGTTGGAAGTGGTGGGAGTGAAGGGATCCAGACTGGTGCATTGGCTGGGGCAGTCAGAAATGGAGTAGCGGTCATGAAAAATGGTAGGCTGGATTTGAACCCATCTGAGCACCTGGTAAATTAGTTTCAGAAGGTCTAACGTTTGATACATTCAGGTAAATGATTGGTACGATTGGTGAATAAATTTACGGGCGTTGGGGCTGGCTCTAATTTTTTCGTTGGCTGGTTTTGCACATTACACTTTGATTCCACTCGCTGGCTGCTATAGAGCTTTGCGGTATATCCGCCCTGTACTGTGTATTGATATCAACCTGTTGCAGGTGGCTAGCATCAATATACCACCTGAAATACTGCACGCGCACACATGTGGCTTTGTCTGCGAAGATCCCATACCCTCCCGCGCCGTTATACTGGCTCTCTCTCCCGATCACTCGGTAAAACAAACTGCGACAATGTCCCTAGATCCATATCCCAAACAATTATCCAAATACAGCGTTCGTAACTGGCCAGACTGGACCAGGGGGACTAGAGACTGTCTACACCAGACTAGACCATCCGGAGAGGAGGCTGTGGACAGGCAGTCTAGGCAAGCAAAATGGTCGTACTGGACGGACTGACCTGCCCCATAGGTTACCTAGATCGCCTCAAAAAATATGTATGTATTTCACATAGGCCAATATTCTGTTGATAAAACAAACTGTATCAGAACCATCGCAGGTATTCTCCTTTGAAGCTTTCCACGCTCTCATACTGCTTATGCTAGTATTGCCACTAAGGTAAAGCTTGTGATAAAAGTCAACAAGCAAACAAACGCCTCACATTTAGGAAACCCACTTTGGTGGGTTTGTTGGTGTTTGGGTTTTTAGGATGACAGTCAGATTGCCTGTGGATGGGCTGTTGGCAGTCCAGACTGGCACTCCTGTGGCCCGTAGGCCTGGAGTCCAACCTTACCCCATTGACCCGTCAGACTAGGGCATCCAGACACCACCATAGACTGGACGGACTGGCCGTTTGCAAACGCTGCCTAAAAGATTCTTGCTGCTACCGTATGTAACGGGCATTGTGCTCGAGGCAGGGTATGAGAGAGAACCTTACGGATTTGGCTGTACCGGTACAGTATCCCAAATACCTTTGGATGCCTTACCATTATTATTGTTCGGTCAACTGACCAAGATCTGTTTGTCTAGGTACGGTATGATACTGTAACCTCCTACAGCCATACAACGTGATTGTGAGGCCAGGTATGACAGCAAACGCGGAGCTTAAAAAATAGAGAGCCCATAGCATTCACTATGATATCATACTGGATTTATTGCTCCCGAAACGAAAAAGCCCCCACAATACAACCCCGGAGTTTTCCTGCGAGCATGATACGAAACATCCAGAGCCCGTTTGGCAAAAAAAAGGATACTGACAGCCATTCCTTTTTGAGTACTTTCGGAATTTACACTGATTTCCCATCCCATGGAGATTTAAGAGCGGTATAGACTAATCGACCCCCAGATAAGTCTGAGAACCCAACGGGGATGACCATGGAGGATTTCATGTACATATTGGTAGCCGGCACAAATCAAGATATGAACATCCTCTCTTGGCGGAAAAGCCAAGTATAGATAGCAGAGGTAATAGCAGCTTGAATCTGTCTTCGAATAATGACTTGAGTAAATGTATCGATATCACTATTAACTTAGTTGCTATTGGATTGACGTGGAAATCAGGTGGAATTATTCTATTTTATGATAATTTTTACTCCCGGTTGTGAAAACCTGTCATGTGGTCTTTGTTACATGGCAATCATTTTGTAATGGCTCTCCCGGGCTGCACAAAAAGGGGATGGTTGATAGAATTTCCGAAAAGGAAGGAAATACGGTACAGTAGCAGATTTGTATGGCTGGGAACGATGAAGAGGAACCGTTGCATCCAAACAGGCTCCTAGGATGGCTCTGGAGGCTTGACAATGATTGAACGCCGTAAATTTGTCTTTTTTCCCAATTTGGCGTTTTTGCCAAGGAAAGGAAAAGCAAAAATATTGCAACTTAAGGTGTCGGGGATTGGACCACCCAGGCGTTCTCCGATCTTCTTCGCTCTGCAACGACGTTCTCTCATACGCCTCCCCAAACTTCTTGTGCTCCAGTAGGATACGACCGTCAAGATGTATGATTCCGCTCGCGACTGCTTTACCGAGCAGCAACAACAGGAACAGAGGGAACAGCAGGACAGAGAACGACAGCGACAACAGCAGGCATCTTCAGCGGGTCCAGCGGACGCGGGCACCCCTCCACGTCGTCGGATAAGCACTGTTGGCGACCTCCTGAGCCCTGTAGAAGACGAGAATGATGTGTTGAAAGGTAGTGCTGGCACTAAGACTTCTTTAGACAAAAAGGAGGGCGGTAGCCCAGAAGCCAGTTCTGAGACTATGAGCCCGGAAACACCGCGAAAGGGCATAAAAGATTCCGGTACATCTAAATCCTCCACCGATTCTACCACTGCTGCTGCTACTACTACACACAGTGAGGCAAAGATGAGCAGCAATGCATCAGCCTCTTCTCCAGCGACAAAGAGAAAGCCCGTCCCTTCGTCATCACCGGGTGAGAGGCGAAGGCGGGTTTCCAACGAAAAGGATGGCGATGCCCCTGATTCGCCAACTTTCCGGAGCGATGATCGGAGACCGACTTCCGATGATTCTCAGAACGCCCGCAGAAATGCTTCTCCTAGACGTCGTCCTAGATCTCCCCCCGTACAACACCAGCCTTACAGACGTCGGCCAATGTCCCCTAGCGGTCGTTACAAATACAAATCATCACCCCCTCCTTTGATTCCTAAAAGGGATCCCTCACCAACTCTGCTACCAGGGGAAGATGGCTCGAGGAGCAGAGACTCTAGCCCCCCGCGTAAACGCAAGAGGCCTGGACAAGCGAGCAGACTCTCGGAGAAGGAAAAGGCCGAAGCTATGGAGAGAATTAGAAAGATGGAGGAGGAAATGGAGAGAAAGTCCAAAGAGGTCATCAAAGAGAGAGGTGTCGAGGAGGTTGTCAAAGCCCACTACAACGACAAAAGGGAGTTGGGCAAAACCTGGCGGAAGACTGACTCAAGGATTAAAGGTCTCAGAAGTTTCAACAATTGGATCAAGTCTACGATTGTCCAGAAATTCTCCCCGAACGATGACTTCGACCCCCGCAATCATTCCAGAGAGTCTAGCTCACACCTCGCTGTATTGGATATGGGATGCGGTAAGGGTGGTGATTTACTCAAGTGGAAGAGTGCCCCCCAAGAGGTTGGGTTCTATGTCGGTGTTGACACCGCAGACGTCAGTGTCGACCATGCCAGGGATAGATATGACAGTATGATCAGGGACTCAAGGAGAAAGCGGGGCGGTGGGAGGGACAGGGGTGGCCGTCAAATCTTCCAGGCCGAATTCCACGTGATGGATTGTTGGACGCGTTGGATCGGAGATATTCCGATTGTTTCCAAGGTCGGTGTAGACCCTAATGTTGGTCCTGGCCAGTCAACTCGGATGTCGGCTAGATGGGGCAGCGGGGGCGGGTAAGAATTCATCTCACATGACTTTCACTATCCAGAGAACTAACGTTTGTTTCAAGTTTCGATGTGGTTTCAATGATGTTCTGCATGCACTACGCCTTCGAGTCCGAGCAAAAGTGTCGAAACATGCTCCGAAATGTTTCAGGTGCTCTGAAAAAAGGAGGCAGGTTCATAGGAACAATCCCCTCTAGCGATGTGATCTCGGCGCGCGTTCGGGGCAAAAACATGCCCGCAGAGTCTCCCGAAAAGGAGAAATTGGACAAATCCGAGCACGGCTTGCAGGAATGGGGAAACAGTATCTACAGGGTAAGATTTGCCGAAGAACCGCCCAAAACTGGGGTCTTTAGGCCACCATGGGGCTGGAGATATAGCTTCTTCTTGGAAGAAGCCGTCGAAGAAGTTCCAGAATATGTTGTCCCTTGGGAGGCGTTCAGAGCGTAGGCAATCCCTCTCCTCTCCCGACACGACTTTTGCCGTCATTGGCAAGGTGCACCATTCTGTTGTACGAGGCTGACAATTCTGCTAAACAGTATTGCTGAGGACTACAATCTTGAGTTAATCTATAAAAAGCCGTTCCATGATATTTGGAGAGAGGAGAAGGATGATAAAGATCTTCGTGTCCTCAGCGAGCGGATGGGGGTTAGAGACAGGGAAGGGAAGTTTGCTCTTGGAAATGAAGAATGGGAGGCCTGTGGTCAGTTATGATTCGCCCCCTATTGATCCCCTCGAACGACTCCTTTAAACTGATTCCGATTGTGAGTAGGATTCTATCTCGGCTTCGCTTTCAAAAAATCATAGATTTGTTTGGTGTGCTGGTGAACCAAAAGAAAGTCTCAACTTCCTGTTCTTACTGTATTTCTTTTTCTCCCGCTCAAGCACTGTAATCGTTCGAGCTCCCGTTGGCCATAAAGTTGCTGCTCTCAGCTCATCCACCAGTTGTTGGCTTCGCTCACTGTATCCGTACCAATCCCTGAACTTTTCCATAGCACTGGCCATCGTATGATATCTCTGTCCGTTGCTATCAGAAGCTTGAACCTGTGCCGCGATGTCACCCCCACCAGGGCAAGCATCCCGGTGATAAAGTACATGTACCGGTATGCGCGCAGGTACAGTATTCCCCAACCGTGTAACGGCAGGGAAAACACGTTCTGGAAAGGATGCCATATCCATTCTGGGAGATTTAAAATCCCCTAATCCTGCTCGCGCACGACCCCAGATACATCTCTGGATACATCGCATACCATGCAATAACTTCCATATTTCCACGTACCTTATCGGCACGAGCATCCTTTAATCTACTCGAGTAATGCTTACATATCGTGCTCGCACGAGTGATGCTGTTGCGTGTGCAATAACTGTCAAGTTCTGGGACACCCGTACGGTCCCCCTTCATGTGTGGAGACACTACTCCGCGACTGGCTGCTATCATACTCGTACAGTACTCGTACTGTATTCGAGCTAAATATATCCACCGTATTCTGTTCCTAATATCACATCTCGAGTCTAGTTACCTCACCCACCGTCACAGTGCCTGCGTTTTATAAATTACAGAGGAAATAAAAATAAAAATTAGGGGGGAAAAGTGCAAGGCTGCTTGCAGTGCCTTTCTCCGTTGTATCCCGCCGCAAATTACGACGGGAGTGGCGGAGCACCCGGCACGGTGGCGAGCATCCCTCATCGGAAATGAAGGTGGAAATTTGGACGGGAGGGCTGTCGTGGACACAGACGAACGCGACCAATCCGAACTTTCTGCCCAGTTATGATATTATGATACTATCCCCCACGACCAAGCCACAAGGAAGTTTAGAATGTGCCACGCTGTGTTGCTTCCGGTAGGAGGAAGGGTGGATGAGGTCTCCCCTGAGGCTGATCGGACGGTCCGAGTATTTCCGCAGAGTGTTTCATGCTGAGGCCCCGGTGGGGTACCGTGCTTTGTGTAGCAAAGAACCCGGATCCAACTTTTATTGGGAGGAGTTTCTGGTCATGCAAAGCCCGAAAGTGGTCAACTTTTGGAATTGTCTACAGGATCCTTGATGTGGAAGTGAGTATTGGAAAAGATTAGATGAGCAAAGCAGAAGGGGATGATGGGCGGAGATAAATGATTATCCACACTGACTAAGCAAGGAGGAGGAGGAGTGCTGAGCTCGAGCGATTCACTTTTCCCCTCCTTGGGTAATTGGCCGTCATCTTCTCCCTTCGTCTATTGGAAAGGGTTCACGAGCACTGTAGATTGAATATCGGTGTCATGACAAGTTCTGGCTATTGCTATTCTTCCCTTCTCTACTGATTGGAAGATCTGGGACAGAGAATTGGTGGTTGTCCGCTTCCTCCAGCCTCTCTATTTCACTCTCCACTCTTTTCCCACCTCATACTTTCCTCACCTACCTTCCCTTCCGCCGCTACACTCTGCTTGGTCGGGAAACCATTTGGAGCAACCCTATTCGTGCTGTACGTCCTAAGTTACCACCTTGCCATTCAAGTACAGTACATACTCCCACCACATTCATCTCTCTCCATCCATTCCTCCCCTGACCCTGTCGTGTTGTTGACCCTTTCCTTCACTCGAACCCCTCTCCCTCCCTCTCCCTCCCGCCCTGTCCCGCACGGAGCCTGTCTTTCCTCGCCTCAACTGTTCGTCTCTTGCTCCCCTCCCTTTCTCTCTCTCCCCCCCCTCCCGAGCTTCCCGTACCCTCCCACCAGACACTCACGTTTGACTCCAGGCTTCCCCCAATCTGTCGCTTTCAGCACGCAAACCGCCATACGTTTGAGTTTATCCTTTCCGGTTTCCCCACCGCCTTTCTCAGCCGCTTCATTGAAGCTGTAGTGTCTACTACCGGTCGCTGTCTTCGGATTTCAATCGTCCACCATTAAAACAAAGAGTTCAACCTTTTCCTCCTGCATTTTAACAATTTCCAAAATCCATAAAAATGTCCTGGAAACTACCAAAATCTCTAAAACGTTGCACCCCACCTCTTTCTCTCACTGCCTGTTCTGCGTGCTTTGCAAGTGATTTCAGACTCGTTGCACTGTTTTCTGAGCACTTTCCCCCGAGACCTGCAACCCGAGAGCTTACTTTTACCTTCGCCGGAGCTTGCTGACCTGCTATTTGGGTGCTGTAGAACTCAAAGAGACGCACCTGGGTGCTCCTTCGGCGTCCCGCTCTTCCTCGACTTCCACCATCACCCCGAACTCTAACGCACAGGCCTCCACCTCCACTCTTGTCGCCAGTGATGGGACTGTGCCTGCCACAGCCACCTCCACTAACAGTGGCGACGCTGCTCCAACCTCCACTGTGAAGCCGGGGTTGCTCATTGTGACTCTCCACGAGGCAAAAGGCTTGTCCTTGCCTCCAACACATCCGGCGTACAATTCTCAACGCCCGTCTTCCTCCACCTCCAACGGCGCCCCCTCGTCTCGCCCCGGCACCGCCAACTCTGCGGCTCACCATGGGCACCAACGGGCAATGTCGAAGCTCTTTAGAACGTACTGTGTCTTGGAGTTTGACAAGACTCAGGTTATAGTCAATGCTAACTCCGGGACTCTGGATTCGCCCATGTTCTCGGGATACACAACTCAGTACAAATTCGATGTCAGCAGAGATACCGATCTGAGTATCGGAGTATACATGCGAAATCCTGGCTCGGTCGGGAGAGATGAGGACTTGTTCTTAGGAAGCTGTAGGGTTCAGCCGAGGTTCGAAGAGCCAACTGCCCCGCAGTCCGGAAAGAAGGGGCAACAGCAGCAACCGACTGCGCCAGGATTTAGTGGTGTTGATTGGGTACCGTTGAGCATGTCTACTGGAAGTGTTAGGCTTGGCATCGAGTACAGGCGTAACCAGGATATGCCACTGACAATTGATGATTTTGAATTGTTGAAAGTTGTTGGGAAAGGTAGTTTTGGGAAGGTCATGCAGGTCAAGTAAGTCCAGTGATGAGCTTTCGTCCTAGCTCTTGCCACGCTGGACTAACCTCTTTTCTCTAGGAAGCGGGATACTCAGCGAGTCTACGCTCTCAAAACCATCCGAAAAGCCCATATTATCTCGAGATCAGAAGTCAACCATACCCTTGCGGAGCGTACTGTTTTGGCGCAGATCAACAATCCTTTTATCGTTCCTCTCAAGTTCTCATTCCAGTCCCCCGAGAAGCTATACCTTGTACTTGCCTTTGTCAATGGGGGAGAGTTGTTTCACCATCTTCAGAGAGAAGGGAAATTTGAGATCAATCGCTCAAGATTCTATACCGCAGAGTTGCTGTGCGCATTAGAGTGTTTACATGGGTTTAACGTCATTTATAGAGATTTGAAGCCTGAGAACATTTTGCTAGATTACACAGGCCATATCGCCTTGTGCGATTTCGGCCTTTGCAAGCTGAACATGAAGGAGGCTGACACGACAAACAGTTTGTCCACCGGCTCTGCCCATAGATAGAGACTTGCATGCTGATCACGTGCGTCACTAGCATTCTGCGGAACGCCGGAATATTTGGCACCGGAGCTTCTCCTCGGACAAGGCTACACCAAGACAGTTGATTGGTGGACACTCGGTGTCCTGTTGTACGAGATGTTGACAGGATTACCGCCATTCTACGATGAAAACATCAACGAGATGTACCGCAAGATTCTCCAGGACCCACTCCAATTCCCGGCGGATATCGATAGAGATGCGAAGGCTCTGTTGATTAGACTCTTGGACCGTGACCCGGAGAAGAGACTGGGGGCTAATGGAGCTGCTGAAATCAAGGCTAATAAGTTCTTCGATACCGTTGATTGGAAGCGCCTTTTACAGAAGAAGATTCAGCCAGCCTTTAGGCCAAACGTGGTATGTAGTAACTATAAGAAGCTGTGGCCTTGGGCGGGGCTAACATTCAGTCTTAGTCTAATGCCATGGATACCGCCAATTTCGATAAGGAGTTCACGAGTGAGGTTCCCACCGACTCAGTCGTTGATGGTGACTTTTTGAGTCAATCTGTGCAACAGCAATTCACTGGGTGGAGCTACAACCGTCCCGGTCAGTTGGGGATGGGTGAGCCCGGTAGTGTGCGCGACCCAGGACCTGGCAGTGTAGTCGGTTAGATTGCAAATCTAGAGGGGGGGAATTTGTGTCGGATTTTCATTCTTTTGCAGGGGTTAGATGGGGTTCTTGTAAGAGATGGATCATTTCATTTTCTTGTGTCTGGTGGGTGGAATGATTACTTTGCAGGAAATGTGTTTTGAGACTTTTTCGCTTCAATATTGTGGGGAGGATTGAATTGTTTCGGGTGTTTCATACTCAACAGAGCTACCTATCCATATTGTATGATTTTCTGCACGCCAGAGGAACTTGGGGTCAGACGCTATTTTGCGCTCATCCTCGGTCGTCGTCGTCCTTTTATGCCATAATCTGGGGGGTTCTTTTTATATATATATATATATTTGGTCGTCGGGTTTCATGGTTTCCTCATTTCCTCTCCATTTTTGCCGCCTACATCTGTGTTGGTTTCCTTCCTTCCTTCCTTCCTTCCTTCCTCTTCTTGGCCCTTTTCAATTGTTCTTGTTGAGTATTGAACTATTTCATGTACGGATTTTTATTCTTATTCCTTTCCATATTTTGCAAGCGAGATGAGTGGGGAATGAGGAAAAATATAGGTGATATTCCTGCAGTAAAATCCGTAGTCCGTGAGCGGGTCTTGGGGGTCTACTTGGAGAAGGCGACAAGGGAGAGAGCCAAAGTGACCCGCCTAGCTATTAATAAGGGTGAGAGCCAGGGTGGCCCCTATCTTTCTCATGTGAACAACGGCGGCGAGCGAGAGATTGTGGATACGGTAGTCCACTGCACTGTACAGTACTTGTACTCGTACCGGTAGGGCAATCCACCGTGGGTAATAGCTCCCCTGCGTCACGGAATTTTTGTGTGTTGTGTCGCTTGTGCATGCTGTGCGGTGCTATACTCTAGTCTACATATTAGGACTGTCCTTCCCTCTCACCCCTTCTTCGAAATTATGCGTTTACCCCGTAACAACTCTGGCATCGCAGCCTCACTCTTAACGCTACTCTTATCCTCAGCCAACGGCTATGAGAAACCCGGTACCGGCGACGACCTCGAGCCGTTGAAGTACACCCCTGGAGACCGGATCTCCGTGCAGTGCTTGAATAGGACGATGTATGTTTAAGCTTTCCTCCCCCCCAAGTTCTCTACTCCCTCTATCACGGCAACCACCACCACCACCACCACCACCCCTTTTAAAGCTCACGGCGAGCTGATCATAACTACCAGAGATACCGGCGAGCATGTACAGGATGAAAAGACTGGAATACTGCAGTATATCCCGTTCGCAGCATGCAACGAGACCGGCCGACCGCTGGAGGTTAAATTTCTGGAGGACGGGGAGGTGAATTGCACCATATCCTTCTTGTCGGATGAGATGTTCCACCTCTTTGAATTCTACGTCCATCATGATTCACCGCTGGCCTGTCGAGTGCCTGCTCGCCCACTGGGCGGTGAACGGGACCTGGAGAAGAAGAGTGAGGAGGAGTACGTTCCTTTAGGTAAAGTCCCTCCGCCCCCCCCCCCTTTGCTCCGAAACGCAAATACTGACGAAAAGAAAAAAATAGTCTTCGCCCTTTCCGGCAAGCTTGAAGCCTCGCATATGCACCTAGCGGCGAACATGAACGTCCTCTTTCACCTAACCTCGCCCACCTCCGGTGTCATAGACTCGGGCACGGCGTACTCCACCTCTCCAATGTCATCGGACCTGACGCGGATCATAATCGGCGACCCACTCGCGCTCCGACTGAAGGTGCACTGGTTCCGCACGCTGTCCCCGCTCTCGGCGCGGAGCAATGGCGAACATGTCACTGTGCACTTGCTCGGGTACTGCCTGCTTTCGGCGTTCGCGGGTGCGTGCTCTGTTTATTCCTTCCTGGTAGGATGGGAGTTTCCGAAGAGGTTGAGGAAGTATGCTTTTGATCGCAGGGGTGGAACTGGGGGGATTATTGGCAATTTTGGGAATGGGGCGGGAGCTGGAGGAGGAGGAGGAGGAGGAGGAGGAGGAGGGAGAGTTGGGTATGGGTATGTGCCTGGTGTTGGAGGGAGGGGTGATGGGGGTGGGTATGGGTATTTGGGGAAGAGGAATGATTAGGGGTTCGTGGTGGTGTTGGGGGGGTCGTGATTGTTTATTTTTATTTTTATTTCTAAAAAAAAAGGTTGGACCGGTTTGCGCTGCATCATGTGCACTGGTGGGGGGTTTGTAATGTTAAGTTGGTAAGGGATCGAGAGGTGGTTGACGATACAGGCACATAACGTTCTTCACAAATATTTCAGGTATAATACCGTATAATATCGCATTCTGTACCGTGTCAGTGATCTCCTGCCCCGGAAGCGCACAAAATACGCATGCCTAGATCCAAAGCTAACCTCCCAGGGGGGTGATTCCAGTGCTAGAATCCATCCATCCATCAATGGATCAATCAATCAAGATTGGCTCTTCACATAAAATCACTCGATACCCGAAATATCACCTCTTCAAGAGCACCTACCTACCCACCTACCACTCTTATCACCTCTTCCTCTTTCGACTAGCAAAGTTGATTAGCCTAGATCAAGGGCTCTCCAGTTCAGTTCAGTTCGTCCGACGGTCACGAGTGGGAAGGGAAGGGAAGGGAAGAAGTTCTCTATTATGGTAGGTGGGTACGATACTGTACTTTACATCACGGATGAAGAATCGATTCAATTTTTTTCTTTTTCTTCTAAGTTTTTCTTTGTTACCATTATGAAGCTGGCTTTACTTTCTTTCTTACTTGCTTACTTGCTTGGTGAATTTCTTGATTTTCACGTTGGTGAGGTAAAGGTAAAGGTAAGGTAGATTAGGCCTACTTGTATCGTACAGTATCGCATTGTGTATTTGCTGGGTTTCCCCGTGTATAACCTGGTTATGATGATCTGGTTTATATACGGTATAATATGATACAGTACAGTACTGTATTGGTGGTTAACTTGGATGGATGGATGAATGAATGGGCCAGAGATCGCAAGTCCCCCTCCTCCTCCGCGTTTCTCGACCGATCAACCGACTCACCGGTAGACTACCATTGCACCCTGCCCTACTGAATTTAGCACAGTGCAGTGTCCTAGAGGCAGGCAGGGAAATAGTCTACGGGTCAAGTTACGAGCATCACAGTTCCATCCTACAGTATGGAAAAAACCTTGCGGTGAAGAGAGGACCGAAGAAGAAAAAGGTTGTGCACGATTGATTACCGTATATGAAATACTTGTGCGGTATTTCTATTATTATTATTATTATTATTTACGCGGAATCACCTTCTGCTGGTAAAGTTACGATATCTCTCTCTGCGAAAATTTACTCACTCATCCTAAGCGGAAAGGGACAAATGGGATACGGTAACCTGAGGGAATAGGTTACAGCTACGGGCACGAGTGAAACGGCGCATAACGGTTGAATTCGAAAACAAAGTGCAGGACTACAGTATTATAATTACTCGTATTTTCTACCCTACGAGTACGAGAGCACAGGTGACAAGTTAACTTAAGCAACCAAAACCTAAGAAATGACGTCAACAGCCCCTCCCTCCCAAACAACCTCACCAACTAATTTATACGGTATGTACGAGCACATATTATCATAATCGTCGTCCTCAGCCCTAAAAAGAAAACCCCCCCTCCCGAACCGAACAAAATACCACACCCACTCACCAACAACCACCCCCCAAAACATCACAAAAAATCACTCGCGGGGTGATGAAACGCCCCCGCAGAAAGCCGTAACAGAAAATGCGCGCATCCCCGCAAGAGAGCGCATTGAGATGCTCTGGCACTGGACTGGAGGCGTGGTGATGTGATGAAAAAGCATTCGTCACCCGAATCGCGGAGGTGAGTAACTCTTGCAACCGACTGACCGACCGACCGACCAATCGATCAATCGGTTCGTGCCAGCTAACTTGACCAACCAACTGGGGAGGTTACTGAGGTCGCGATGTATGCACGATATCAATGCCCCACCCTCCCACCAACTTACATACTTGGCCGCAGGCTGTAATAAGCGCAACGAACGGAGGAACGATCACAACAAATGGTTTATCCGTCAAGTTAGGGTTTTTTTTACTTACTGTGGTATGGGAGGGATAATGTGAGGTGATCAATCAGTTAATGGGTCGGTGACGATGGGGAGGAGGAGAGGAATATGAGATGTTGGGGAGGTTGGGGAAGTTGAGTTGAGTGACTTATGAATATATGATAGGAGAGGAGAGGAGAGGGGGAAAGGCAGGGCAAATGATTATTATATATATATACCTCACCACCACCATCACGTCTAAAACCTACCCGCCGCCAATTCTCAATCGCCCCGCATTCGAGAACTTGCGAAAGAAAAAAAAAATTATTCCCAGCGAGAAATTACCCACCTGCCATTTACATCCATTCGTTGCGCGAAGGATTATGACGGTCACGACCACCGCCCCCGATAAGAGCACGGGTACCTACCAAGTCGTCCGCGAGACCATCGACATCCTCTTCGACTACGCGGACACCGAAGTGCGCAGCGTGCACAAGTCACTCGCCGAAGCCAACGATGCGGCGAGGAAGGACCTGTTGACGGAGTACTCCGTCGGGGAACTGGACGAGTGCGAGGAGGCAATCGGGATTGATGGGAGTGTCCGCATCAATGCTAGGTTTTTTCCTCCCGCCACCCCGCACTTGACGCCAATTCTAACGGAAACGGGGGATGATATATAGCACCGCGGAAGTAGATCTAACGATATCGGTCCGACACATCCCCCCCCACCCTCACCCCCACAACTACCACCACCACCACCTTTCGACGACGACGACGACGGAGGGGGAGAACTACGTGTACACAATCACCCGTACGGATTCCTCGAGTACCAGACACAGCACCGCCTTCCTTGGCGTCTACAGTTCCGAGGATAGGGCGAACGAGGCGGCGGAGAGGGAATTGCGCTGCGCGGCCGGCATCAGGAATTGGCGGGATCGGAGGAGGTTCCGGGGGGGCTTTCGGGAGGGCTACGGGCTCAATGGCTGCTTCGAGGGGGCCGCCACCCTGGGCAAGGGGGAGGAGGGGGTTTCCCGGGAGGAGGTCACGGTCGTCGTCGAGAGGAGGGTTTTGTACGGGTGAATGATGATGATGATGGTGGGGTTTGTAAATGGGTATCATAGATACTAGTAGATGGGTGGTGCGGATTATGTCTTTTATTCTGTTCTGTTCTGTTCTGTTCTGTCCTGCTCTATTCATTCCTGCTGTCATTTCCTTCCTTTAATCGGAGTGATAGGCTTGGTGGGAGGTTATTCGATTATGCGCCTTGTTGTCCCACGATATTGGCGCATTCGCATCTTACTCGTAGCGATGCAAGAGACGAGCACAGTAATTTACTCGTACCGTATATTCAAACATTTCTCCTTCAACAAGTATCATATCGTACATCTAACTTAGAAAAGTACCGTACGATCGATACTGGAACCCACCCACCCATCACACTACAGTATTCTTGTCAAAAGTTCATGTCCAGCATCACACCATCACCAAATACAGTCTTTCTTAAGTTAGATGGTCCCGGTGGATTTACGGATCGACGGTCCATAAAGTGCCGTTCGCGATCTACATATTGTTATTTATATATATTCAAGTCTTGGAGTTCGTCCGTGTTAATATGTCGTGAGGTGGTGGTCTGGCGAATTGCCATGATATCTGATTTGACTCAGTGCATGGAAACACTCGTAACGTCCACGAGCGGTTGGAGCGTTCGGTGCGGTCATGCTGGCTTCTAGAATGTTTGTTGAAAGGGTGGAGGTGGGTGAACGTCCGGGGGATGGCATATTCATTCAATGGACATCACAACCTGTGACAAAGAGACTGGTATACGGGCAATTATTCCCCCCCCCCCCCTAGTGTGCTACTCTGCAACTTGAATGCGGTACTGGGCATGATATCCTCAAATGGCAGGCAAGATAGCACTGGGATGGCCCAGAACAAGACGTACAATACGGTGGATCCCTCCAGGGGACCACGATGCCATTTCAAGAACTTTCTACAGACTCCCGATTCTTTATTCCCCAAAACGCGATAACGATTTGCCCCAATGTGCCATCATACCCGCGATAATTATTACAGTCCCCCCTCCACCCTTCTCCCATCCCCTCTAACCACAACAGCATTACTGCACCCTCCTCGCTGCGAGAGATAGATAGAGAGAGATATAGCAGAACAATGGCTAACTGCCCCCATGAGCCAAAATACTTCTTCACACCCCTCCTCCAAGCGCTAGAGTTGGAGCGCTGCAGTAACAAGTCAGTCCAGGAGGTCAGAACCAGCTACCGCGTCATATGCACATTCTACAAGGACTGCATGGGCTGGGAGGCTATGGACCCTTACGACCATGACTTCAGTGACGACGAGGCGGACCAGCTGGGGAAGACCTCCAAGATCCTCGGCACCTTCAAGACCATTCCCGAGGCGAACACGGCTGTGGCCAAGGCACGGGGGTTGATTGACCATAACCAGCTGTCCTTTTTTTCCATGACCAACTGTCAGGATAGAGGGGATATGATGCATTTTCGAGCCGAGTTAGTTGAAATCCCCCTCCCCCTCCCAAAAAAAGCTTGTGCTTTGTAGTGGTGACGCTGAGTTGGCTAATTGGTGGTGGGATAGTGGGACTGTGGGTGGTGCGCTGCAGGTTTATGTTCAGGAAACCAGTGTTCTTGTCGACGTCGAGAAGGAGCGTGGGGAATATGTGTGCTTGGTTTCCATGTCTGGGGATGTGAATGCCTTTTCTCACACCAAAGGCGTGTTTGAATCGCTGGAGCATGCAAATGACTTTGCCGAGCGTGAGTTTGAGATAATCCGTGCTGAGGAGCCGGGCCAACCGATGAAGATGCTGGACTCGAGGGGCATGTTTCAGGGAAAGGTTGCCAAAACGGGGCAGAGAGTTGGCGTCTTTTGGAGAATAGCTTTTTGTTGATTTCTAGACTACCTTGATGGTGATGACCCTGAAAATTTAGTCTTATTGAATTTATCCCCCGAGAGAGACAAGTTCACTAGCCCTGACAAAGGCCATGAGTCACTTGTGATTTTCCGGGGCAAAAAATAGTCACCCAAATCGAGAAGGGAAGAGACCAAAACAAAGTCCCATCAAACATTTTTTTATATTCTCTATCCTTTTTATTCCAGGATTTCCCAATCCCCTTCCTTCCAAAACCAACAACTGCTAAACCCCATCCGCCGCCCCCCACAGACCCCCCTCCCACCATCAAATTAGCACCTTCTTTGCCCAAAGGAAGAGAAACATACCTAGGAAGAAAAAGAAAAAAGATGGCGTCTCCCCCACAGAGTAATCGGAATCGAATTATACCATTCTTTCGAACAGCACGCCGCAAATTGCACTAAAGTGGCTCAACCACAATCTTCGCTTCGACTCCCATAGCATCCCTCCCGGCACCTCTCCCTCTCCCTCTCCCTCTCCCTCCCCCCTCCCCTCCCCTCCACTTCCCCCAAGCCGACCAGAGGAAGAGCCGAAGGAGTAGAAAGGAAGAAAGAAAGAAAGAAAGAAAGAAGAAAGAAAAGAAAAGGGCACGGGAAGGCGCTTGATTTTCTGATGTCTCAGCAGGAATGAAATCATCCCTTACCCTCGCGGGCCGCCGTATGTCGTGAACAACAACGGTGTAGTGACTTGAAGATTACTCCGAATTTCTCATTTGCATGGTGATCAAAACAAAAAGGAAGCGGGGGGCGATTAAACCCGGAGCTTGTGCCAATTGTTCGTATGTGAGCAAAGAAACGCGGCCTTGTGGAGGGGACGCCATGGAGAAAGAGAGAAGGGGAGGTGGGGGGGGGGAAGGTATTTATATGAGCGGTCGGCGAAATATTATTACCCGGCTTTCGAGCTGCTTGATAGCTTTTTCCTGAGAGGAGCTGTCACGACTCACGACAAACTTATCCTCTAGGTATGATATCATAACCCATTAGTAGATTTAATTCCCAGAGTTTATTTTTCTTCTTTTCCTTTCTCTTCTTTCTTTCTCTTCTTGCCAATCACCTAATCCACTATGATATAATCAACTTTATCCCCGTTAAATTTGCCATAGAAAAAAAAAACAAAAAACAAGACCCCTAGGGTTTCACCATGCGTCACTCGACAGTGAGTATCTAAGATCTGGCATCCAGTGCCCATCACCCATTAATCGAATGCCGGTAGATCCAAATCACCACTTCTCTTGAATCTTCCTTCATTCATTAAATCGGTTTCGAGTACCAGTAATTAAAGTAGTAAACAGCAGCCCTTGGTATAGATTACATCAAATGAGCAAAGAATTGTCTTTTCCATCCCAATACCAACCGACCAACAAAAGCATGCCAACTGCCCCATCTCTCCCACAATAAACCAAACGCCGTTGACATATGAAAGATCAAGTCACAAAATCAATCCACTCTCCCTCAACACCTTCCCGATCCCGCCCCTTAAAACTTCCCTCCGCTCCTCGGTCATCCTTAACTTCTTAACCCGCACTTCTGCAACTTTCTCAACCTCCCCTTTCATTCCTTCGACCGTGGCTCTTCGTTTGGTGACGCAATCTGCAAGCAGCGTTTCTATTTCACGCTTCTTGCTGAGGATGAAGTCCCCTGCGGCAGCGTGCTGTTTATCGTCGAGCCCCCTGAAGAAGTTGGATGGCTTGGACGTGTCGTGGGGATAGTAGGAGTTTGCCAGCTCAGTAATCTCGGTGGGTAGCTGGGTTTGGGGGATTGAGGCGTAAGAGGCCGAGCGGAGGGAAGAGAGGGCCGAGATGAGGCCTTGGTATGAAGTTATTGCCGCAAGCTCCGAGTCGGGAATCTAGAGGATTGATTAGACGTGGTATGTTAGTAGCGAAAGGAGGAAACCGTACTAGTGGGGCAAAATCTGTGTTCCGATCTTGACTAGGTCTCTTGTTTTGCTGTCAAATAATCAGTCCATATATCCCCCACATACTACCCCCAGAGAAAACAAAATACCTCAACTACTTTGGCTTGCCGCTCGGAAGCTGGCTCCCTTCTCTGCGGCTTATAACTGTGCAAGTGATCCTCCTCATCCTTTCCTAACACACTCTCCCTACTTTCAGGCCTGCCGTTCCTATACGACAATACAGCCCCCCTCCCCTCTTTCTCGCGACTTCCTTGCCCCAACCACCCTCTAGAAGAAATGGTTGGGCTTCCACTCTCCCAAATGCCCCCCAAACCATCCACCTCCGCCTCCTCATCCCGGAGTCTTCCATCCCCATCGCCACCCTGAGAATCGTCAACGTACTCTCCAGCATCATCAAACCCACCCTCCTCATCTCCATCTTCATAATACTCATCCCCACTAGCATTCTCCCAAAGCCTCAATTCAGTATTGACCACCTTCTCCTTCCCACTCTTTCCCGAGTTTGACCTCGACCGTTCATCACCGCCCCTCCAGGGGGTCGGCGAGTCACTAACCAGCGAGATTCTGTTATCATCCTCGTACTTTATAGTACTCTCGTCGAAACTAGGAGTGTCCTCTTCGAAAACATCGTACTCGGCACCCTCCAAGATCTGGCGAAAGTCTGTGGACCGTACAGGGCGCGGGGTGTTTGATCGGGAGTCTGATTCCGCTTCGTAATATTCTTCTGTTACAGCGAGCTCGGCGGCCGTCACCTGGGTGGAGGCCGCTGGCGGCCCTGAATGGGCGAGAGGAGGGGGAGGAGGTGAAGTGGGCGGCTGGCGGGACGCGTTGTGGTTTTTGAAGGAGGGGCGGGAGCGGGAGCTAATGAAGTTTGAAACGCCTGGAGAGCTGCGGCGGTTGCTCAGTATTGAAGCGTAGGAAGGCAGACTACTTGTAGAACTTGGTCTGCTCATTATGATGGTAGGAGATGGGATAATACAATGAAAGTGCTTGGTGGGGTGGTTCGTGGTGCTGGAAGGTGTCCAAGATGCCGGATGGCAACTATCGATAAGCCTCATTCAGAGTCACTCGAAATATAAATTATATAATACCGTGACCACTAGAGGGGTTTTTTTTAACCACCTACGGTACCGGCACCCTACTGTACGAGTACTTGTAGCCCTTTTGACCACCTCATTGCGTTCCCAGTCGTGGGGGTAAAGACTGGCACTGGGGGTGATTCTTCCTATCGATTAGCGGAATCAGGTGAATACCGTCACTATCAATTCCAATTGTACTAGTACAAGGCAAGTTCCCGTAACTTTGGTTCCCGGCACTCGTACCGTACGGGTAATGGGTGCAGGGGACCCCAAAGCCATCTATAGCCATGTGGATATCCCGCGGGTTGAACAGTCTCTCGTGACGGAATTATTTTTGTTCAATTGCCCGAGCGCATTATCGAATATCTAGTGTACAGTACAATAGGGGGAAAACAAAACCCGCTGGATAAAGAAATAAACTCCGCCCGGCCTATCCCTACCTCAAACAAAAAAAGAGAGAGTTGTATGATAGTGTTGAAATTGTAGGCAAGGAAGGGCAACCCTAATTAAGGCCTCTCTTTTCGCTCTCGGAGTAGAAAATGACCATTCGCCAGACCTTCTTGACAAGAGTTTCAGCGTCTTCATCGAGCGCCTATAGCGGGGTTAGTATGAATGTGAATAAATTTGGGGAAGCATATGGTACCATTTCTAACTCCTTCACTAGGTCCTCTGCGGAGCCACGTTTCCGGATATGCTCCAGAACAAAGTTAATGAGCTCTTGCTCTTGGACTCCCAGGTACTGGAAAGCGTTAATACCTAAAAATGGAACTGTAGTGTAAGGGGGGACAAGCCGCTTACTTCAACAATCTTTTTCTCCACAAATGGCTGCAACTTTTCGTTGAGAATTGCCTCATCGATATGATCCCACTGCAACTTCCATTCGAATAAGCCCTTTCGGTCGCTCGGAATCTCTTGAGCTAGCTGCCTAACGAGCTTCTCCCTGGTCTCCTCATCCATAACACTAGTAGAGTCATACTGTATAGGTACGAGGACACGCTTGGTTTTCGACTCGTCTTCTTCCTCGTCTTCTAGCATCCCTTCAACTTCAGCTGCTGTCTTCCTTCTAGGTCCCTGCTGCTCCTGCTTCTTGCTTGCAGCTGCACCCAAAGCCAACTTGAATTTCTGTGGCTCTTTGATTTGAGCTGCCTTCTCCATTTCTTCGGCCTGTCTAGCCAAGAAGCTATCCGCCATAGATTCGGCAGCTCGCTTTTTGTCAATATCCATCTCAGCCTGTCTAGCCTCCGCCTGGCGATCCCGTTCGTCCATCTCGATCTCCCTATTCCGAAACGCTGCCCTGTTGCGGATCCACATAGATCTATCAACGTAATATTCCTCATTTTTCTTTTCCGCCTCAACATCGTCGTCCCATTCCGCCAACCGTTTGCCCATAGCTATCTTATCCAGTTTCTCCCTCTCTTCGTCCTCCAGATCTCTGGCTCGCTCTCGCTCTAGAGCGGAGGTCCTCGCTCTTTCGCGGTTGAGCCAACGTCGTTCGTGGTCCAAGAAAGTTTTCTCCTGGTCGGTCTTCTTTTTCCCCTTTCTGCGATTTTCCAGCTCCTCATCAGATGCGTCAGAATCTTCTTCCTCCTTGCTGTAGGAGAGTCCATTTGTGCCGCCGTTGACGAATGCGACCCCCTTATGATAATCCCTGGGAAGCTGACTGCCGGAAGACGGACCGGTCGGGATTTTCGCCGAAGTGCTCGGGGTCCCCGAGTGATCCCGCAATCTTGAAGGCCCAATTGGGATAGCGTTTGCTCCGCCTGATGGCCCCGTAGGCGCCAGTGGGGGTGGGGATGAGGCAAGACGGTTTATTCTAGGCCCATGGCCCCGGTCCCGCTCCATTTTTTCTATTTCTTCCTCTCTCCTGAGACGTTCAAGGTCTCTACGATTCGAGCGTTCCCGAAAGGCTGCAATTTCCTTGGCCACCATGTCACGCATATCTGCTGGAATATCGCTCAGTTCGTCATCCGCCGAAAGGGGTATTGTCACAATTTCGGGCTGTGGGGTTGCATCAACGCCATCTGGCGCCGGAGTTTCGGAGGTCTTCTCGGGCGCTGGAGTTCTGGAGCCTTCGGTGGTCTTGGGTGCTCGTTTAGAAGGGTCCCTGTATTCGCATAGAGTAGTTGTGAGGGCAACCCTAGCCGATTCTCGGCGATTCTTTAATTGTTGAGGATCCACCCGCTTTTCGTGGTTTTCGATGTAGGTCACAGAATTATCATCGATGACCATCTACGGAAAGGGTTAGCAAATAAGTAGCAATGCTGGAGGGAGGTTGGGGTTGGAAGAACAATACCATCAGCTTCTTAGGCTCGGAATGCTCATCGATAGCAGGTATTTCTAAATCCTCGAGAGCTTCAATCGCGCATCCAAGACCTTCAGGATCCTCGTATTCGGCAAACCCGAACTTGCATAGTTCTCCATTCTCATTTGTGGCTCGGGTCCATTTCCTAAGCGGTGCGACAGACTAGAAAAGAAAAGAAAAATACAGCGGTCAGTACCAAAGGCTTATCCCAGATTTCAATTAAAGCTCGTGGTGGTTTACCTTCAGGATTCTCTCCATCCACTCATCTTCCAGATCTTTTGGTATGGAACCAACAAATACCGTCTTAAGCTGCTCCTCTACACTGGGCGGTGCCAGATCCGCAGCGGCATCCCTTGAAAAGCCCTGCGAAGACCCAGCCCCGGACTTCAATGAACCCGAGGAGGACGGAACAGGATTTTGCCGCGTCACGGAAGTACCGAGTCTGATGATTGGCGCGTTGAAGTTGATATTCGGTAAATTTGCTGGCGGAACAAATCCTGGCATTCCCGGCCGAGTAGGCATGTTGGCCTGAGCCGTCCCCGGGGGGGCACCGCTAACACCAGGAGGGGGGGGGAGACCAGGCGCGCCCGGAGGACCAGTCCCAGGAGGCATACCGAAACCCGGAGGCACGCCCATCCCAGAGACACCAGGAATCCCTGGGAAGCCAGGCGGCATTGTGGGTCGGCCGAAAGGTTCTATCAAGAGTCAGCAAAAGAAACACGGAAATGAAGAAAAGTCTTACGTCCGTACGGATACATGGTCCGCAAAGTATTCGTAGATTGAGATAAGGAATGATCAGAAGCAGTAGTGGTATGAATGTCCCGTGGCAGACGACCTATAACTGCAGGCGGTGGTGGTAGTGGTGTTGAGAGGATGAAAGTGTAAAAGAAGGCTTGTGGTGTTAGGGCTGGGTGAAAGAAGAAGTAAAACCCAATGCTGATAATTTATTTCTCGAGGAAACCCAAAATGCGAGATGGCGATTACTAAGCAAGCATTTTTTATTTTTCTATTTTTTTTATTTTTCCTGCATTTGGTTTCCAGCGACCAAACTTTATTCCGTCTCATTTCAAGTGCAACACTTGCGTTCGCTCCCCTTGATACCATGGAGATCTGCCAGATGTCTCGGGTAACCTCCTATGCTCGGCCTCTTTCTTCCTTCTATCGCATCAATCCTGCTTCCCGAACTACTCTACGGCAATTCACATGCTCCGCTACTCGACTCGAGGACAAAAATGCAGAAACCAGGTTACCGACCCCCACCACACCTCAGACACCCGATGTCACTTCTGCCACTGCTACTTCTACTCCCCAAACCACTACCCGTGGTGAAGAGCCTGACCAACGCACTACACCAGCACAGACAGTCCTGCAGAAACTTTTCGAGGCTGCTGGTGCAGCATCTTTGCGACCGCCCCCTCAACGTTCGTTCAACGGTGCCAGCATCCTTCCGACAAATATCGTTAGTCGCAATACATTGAGTGCCCTCAATGTCCCACCCATCTCTGCCCCAAAGGAACTTCCTAGGACCGGACCGACGGCCGGCAGAACGGTTGAGGTTACCCGCGATCTTTCATCAGCCCTCTCGAGGTTGCGAACCATAGTCGCTCAGAATAAGCTCAGAATCGACCAGCGAGAGCAGAGGTTCCATGTTCGACCTTCTCTGAAACGCAAGAGGCTGAAGAGTTTGCGGCATAGGAAGAGGTTCAAGGATGCATTCAAGAGGTTGGTCGGAATTGCGATGGACATGAAGCGGAAGGGGATATAGTGCTTGGGGTTTGCTCTTGTATAGGAGACGTTTAGCTTTTGCTGGTGTATATCCCGACGTATTAACCCAAAGGAGGTTTGGGGAATATCAGCTACCAACGACCGGAAAGTAGCCACCAATGCTAGTTTGGATCTCCCCGGCTAATACAAAGGGCCAATTGTATATTTACCAGTATATGCTTGTTTCACTCTTCCCCCTTTGCCATTGCAAATACTTTTGATGCTCTGTTCAAAATCCTCGGCATTTGCTACTGTATTCCAGCACCGTATTCAGGACTGAGCACCAGTCATGATCCAGCCCCTTGTACTCTTCACTGAATGATGTAGTAACTTAGTCAGGATATGGGCGGAGCAGGGTGCAGTAGTCAGGCTGTGTTCTGTTGGGTACGGTGGGTGGGGGTAGGCTAGAAAAAATGGATACCGTACAGTGAAACCTCCGATAACTCCACCCTCCGAGGTTTCCAGGTCTCCGGTATTTCTATCACTTGCCAGGGACAGGTTTCATTCTATTGGCTTTCCTCCTCTAAGTTCTAGGGTTCTATTAGTTCCTCTTTCCAGGTGGTAAATGGCTCCTAAATTCCAGGTTTCATGTGCATAAAATTATTTTTCATGTCACCTCCTGGGCAAAGCTGTAGACAAATCACCAGATAACTAGATAGTGAGTTGAATGGATATGCATGTTTTTAGAATGAAGGGTCATCAGATGGGAGGGGTATATTATTTTTCCGGAATGTAAACATATTATGGAGTTAAACCCTGTACACTTTCATGAACTATCACTCATTTTTCTCTCAGCACCCCCCTCTATTCTGCCAAGCCTTTCCTCTACTTCCAGGGAATCCAGTCTCCCCACGTCCTGGAGGTAACGGAGGTTTCACTGTGGCGGTGTACGGTAATGGTTGTCTGCTTGTACCCATTTGTCACAAGTGCCATATTTATTTTATCCTATCGCGGTCCGTCTCGCCTGTTGAGCCTCATTTCTCAAGGCTGTCGACTACTCCTTTCCATGAACCGACCCTTGATGTTATCCCCTTTCATTTAATTTTATTCGTTCGTCCCTTCCTTTTGCTTAATATTCCTGTTTACCTCTCCTATTTCTTTCTTCGGAGGCTGTCGCTCCTTCTAGTATTTGTTCTCTCTTCCCCTTTCACCTCGCAATCGCTGTCCAGAAGCACCTAACTAAACTATGGCTCGTCTGGGAAGGTTGGGCTTCCTGGGGCTTGCCGTCCTATTTCACCTGATCTACATATATTCGATATTCGACATATATTTTGTTTCCCCAATTGTTCATGGCATGCAGCAATACCATGTTGATGTTCCGGCACCAGCGGAAAGGCTGTTCTTGATTGTTGGTATGCAGATTCATTTTCGGGGGTGCAATCTCAACTCTCTGCGAGTATACCGCTTCCTAAGCTCCTAGCTGAACCCCAATCTAGGCGATGGTCTCCGTGCCGACAAGTGTTTTCAATCCCATGACGACCCGGACTATCCTTCGGAAAATCGCTACCTCGCCCCTTTCATCCGATCCAAAGTTTTGAACGATGCTACCTTTGGCGTTTCTCACACCCGCGTACCTACGGAGTCCCGTCCGGGACATGTGGCGCTTATTGCCGGATTATATGAGGATGTCTCTGCCGTCACGACTGGTTGGAAGCTTAACCCAGTGAACTTCGACTCGGTTTTCAATGAGAGTCGGCATACTTGGGCGTGGGGGTCCCCGGATATCCTCCCAATGTTTAAGCATGGGGCCAGCGACGAGGGAAGAGTGGACTCATTTTCTTATGACGAAGAGATGGAGGACTTTACGGCTGGTACGGTGTTATTGAGACTTTTAGATTTTGTTTGGAGATGTAAAGCTAACACTGGCTCGGGGTTCAGATTCGACCGATCTTGATATTTGGGTTTTCGACCGCGTCAAGGAGCTGTTCGAATCGGCTGCGCACAATGACACCCTCAACGCGATGCTCCGGCAGGACAAGGTTGTCTTTTTCCTTCATCTCCTTGGTTTAGACACCGCCGGTCATTCCTACAGACCATACTCGGCCGAATATCTCCGAAACATCAAGGTTGTCGATGAAGGAGTCCAGAAGATCCATAACCTCGTTAATGACTTCTATGGAAATGATGATAAGACTTCATGGATATTCACTGCCGACCACGGCATGAGCGATTGGGGATCCCACGGAGATGGGCATCCAGATAACACTCGTACTCCTCTTGTTGCATGGGGCGCCGGCATCAAAAAGCCGGTAGCATCCAAGGTACTGGAGGTGACGGGTCATGAAGACGGTTTCTCCGATGGTTGGGGGCTAGGTGCTGTACAGAGAGTAGATGTCGCGCAAGCCGACGTAGCTGCGCTTATGGCCTATCTTGTCGGATTGAACTTTCCAGTCAATTCCGTTGGAGAGCTTCCGTTAGAATACCTTGATGCAAATGTCTCCGTGAAAGCAGAGGCATCCTTGGCGAATGCAAAGCAAATTCTTGAAATGTACAAGGTCAAAGAAGGTTAGTTCGGATCTCTCCTTATCCGCCTTCTCCATGGAAGATGGATTTCGGGGGCGAATGATGGTTCATGATGGTGCTATGAAGCCATGGTTTACTAATTTTAACAGAGCAGAAAAAGTCCACGACACTACGATACGCCGCTTTTGTGCCCCTGAGCGAGGGCGAGCAATCTCTCGAAAGTCGTTTTGCGGAAATCCGGGGGCTTATCGATAGTGGATCACATGAAAGGGCTATTGGAAAGTGTGTAGAGCTGGTTAAGGTTGGCCTAGAAGGCCTCCGGTACCTTCAAACGTAAGACACATATACCTTCTGCGCGAAAAATACAATGATAGCTAAATGGCCCAGGTATGACTGGCTTTTTCTGCGGACCTTGGTCACTGCGGGGTATCTAGGATGGATTGCATTTTCACTCACAACAGTTATCGACCTGCATGTACTCCACGGAAGAACCGAACCTACCCGAACTATTGGGAGCTCTATATTCTTCATTTCTAGTCTCGTGGCAATTTATTCCGTCCTTATGATTCAAAAATCTTCCTGGACATATTATGCATACGCCTTTTTCCCGGCGATGTTCTGGGAGGAAGTATATGCGAGGAAAAATTCGGTCGCAGAAGGGACCCGACAGCTTGTAGCGCACCTGAACTCATGGAGTGCATATATGGGGTTGGGTGCCGAAATAGTCGGATTTCTTGTGTTACTCGAGGCCATGGTAGGATTCCTTTCTCTCCCTTCAATTGCCAAGTGTGGGGTTGGATGTGAGGGTTGTGACTAATGTATTCTAAAGGTGTTTGGATACTTTCACCGTGAAGTTTTTACGGGATGCTTCCTCCTTGCAACTGCATGGCCCCTATTCTATGGATCTGCCTTTCTCCGAAACAACAAGTCGTTGGTCGCGAGTTGGATGATATGCTGTGGCTTGATGAGCACTTTCACCCTGCTGCCTGTGATCAAGCAGGAAAGTGAGAATCTGATGTATGTGTGGTGTATTCTTACGAAAGAGGAGGTCTGATATTATCAAGTGCTAATCACAAGTAGATTGCTAGGGGGGGTTTTCATGTTTTCCCTAGGGTTGCTTTACATGATGTTCGGAGAGGCTATTGTCAATGGTCGCGATGGAGCTCGGGTAGCCAGAAGTCAAGATTGGATATCAAAATCCATACTGGGATTCCAGGTATATTCCGTCGCCCCTAGATAACTCGGGGGGAATTAGAGTGCTGGGACTCGATAGATACTAACTGTGGGTACGAAGCTTGGGTTGATAGGACTCTCCATGTTTGTGACGAGATCCAGTGTCAGATCTCTGCAAGCGAAATCAGGCCTTCCTCTTGGAAATCAAGTTGTGGGGTGGCTTGTGCTTGGTTAGTTTGAATCCCTCCCCGCATTGCATAATGTGCCCGGCACCACCGTTCCTGTTCCATACTTACCGAATTTCCCGAAAACCGCAGTCTTGTCGATCGCTTGCCCGTTCCTGCATGGAATTCGACCCCAGAGTCATTATCTCCATAGGCTAATGGCCATTTTCCTCACCTTCTCGCCCATATTTGTAATCCTTACCATCTCGTATGAGGGGCTGTTCTACGTGATGTTTTGCCTTACACTTGTTGCCTGGGTCCGTCTGGAACACAAGATCCACCTACACTCGTACCGAAAGCAGCTGGAGCCTCCGGGACTTCACGAAGGGGGAACGAAAGATGCATCTTCCGGACCGGGCGAAACACTCAAGACGAGTTCGACGGCTTCCGCAGGCGGACCGCAGTCCCCGCATTCCCAAACATGGAGAGAACTAACCCTTGGCGATGCAAGGATTGCACTGTTCTTCTTTTTCTTGATCCAGGTGGCATTCTTCGGAACTGGAAATGTTGCTTCATTGTCATCTTTCTCTCTAGACAGCGTATATCGCCTTATACCAGTGTTTAATCCATTCGCAATGGGGGCACTTTTGGTTTTAAAGCTGATGGTTCCGTTCGCGGTGATCTCAGCAAACCTTGGGATCCTGAACAGGAGGATCGGAGTGGCGCCAAGCTCTCTGTTCATGGTAGTCATGGCCATATCAGATGTCCTAACACTCAACTTCTTCTTTATGGTTCGGGATGAAGGGAGCTGGTTGGACATTGGTACCACCATCAGCCATTTCTGCATATCGAGCCTGTTGGGGGTTTTCGTCTCCGCATTGGAATTCATGAGCGAGGTTTTTGTTGGGGGGGTTAGCATAGAGGGCGGGAATCCCATCCTCTCCTCTCGCTCTCCTTCTTTGAATGGTGGTGTAAAAGCGCAGAGCGGGGGATCCACGAAAGGCTCGAACGGAAAGGTTGCCAACGGGGTGTCTTGAGGGCGGTTAGGGGAGGAGGAGGGAGGGGGAGGTAATAGCATTCTGTTGGGAAAGGGTTTTATCTATCATATCTTGCTCATACTCCTCATGCCTAGTGTGTAATTTTAGAGGTGTGATATCACACAGCTCTTTCCTCCTCTATATTCCTCTACCCCACTCGGGCGCATGTATGTCAGAGGGCTCCTCCTCCGTCTCTCCCTCCCCTTCCCCAGGCATTGTCCACGAGTAGAAGGTACAAGTAATGAATGAATGATATGGTACATGATGGATAGGAGAGTTGACCGCATCCCCCCGCCTCCCCATTCAATGGCAGACAGAGGCAAGCCCCAGGAAACCCCTTCAAAGCCCTGACGCTACCAGACACTAGGGTGCTAGTGTGGTACTGTACTCGTACAGTACGGTACTCGAGTACTCGTAGTAGCGGTCCGTTGTGGCATAAAAATTTTGCTTTTGCACTGCTCTCACACTTTCACATGTTAAAGGGAAACATCCCAGGGGAAAGGGGAAACCGTGGCCGCTGCCGCCGCCGCCGCAGAAGACAATGCGGAGGAAGACAGGGGCGGGTGGCAGTGTATCATATTGTACTCGAGTACTCGTAGCGTACCTGAGCTATGGTCTCGTGTTCGCTGATCAGTCGTCGTGGAGATCCTGCGAGCACAGTCCCGTGCTTCGCTTTACCGGTGCTGTACTGCAGTACCCGCGTACCGTGCATACAATACCAGTATCATGCATATTCCAAGATTGTGAGATTTGTTTTTTCCTTTCCCCCTTATTCTCCAAGTAAATTTCTGGGCTCCCCCGATCACTCCTTTCCTCCCCCCCCTTCTTCCACCCTCTCCTCTACGGGAGTGGGAAGAGACACGATATCCTTTCGTCCGGCAATCTACGAATTGACCTGTGTGCCACGAGGTTTTGTTTTGTTTTGCTTTTTTTTCCTTCTGGCTCTGGGAACGAACCGTCGGGTTCTTTTTCACATGCTTTTTTGTCGTTCGGATGGTCAGGTGGTAGCGTACCGGTAGCGTAGCTGGGGGGATCGCGATTCGCGATGGGTGTGATGCTTGGGCATTGCCATGGTCTTGAAGTTTTAAGGTACAGTACGGTGGCGTGCCGGTATCCCCCCCGTCGCAAGCAGAACAGAGTCCTCGAGGGAAGGGAAAAAAAACCCCTCCGGTTCCCCTTCCAACATATGGTGCGGGAAGTCTTGGGGAAGTGTAACCCTCCGCTTCGGTTCCAGGCTCTTTCTTTTCCATCTTTGGGTTTTTTGAGTGCAGGTTGACCGCTCGAGTAGACTACTTGTACTTGTATTCTAAAGTTTAGAATCACGATAAATTCACTATCTTCGCGCAAGCCACTCTGTTGAGGGGATCACAGATCCCCTGCCGATATCGCTTTCGGCGCCATGGGGTCCCGGTATCCAATGTACCGTGGGGGTACCGTACGATACACGCGAAAGAGGAGGAGGATAAAAAGAAAATACAGGTATCATAAGTCCACTTTTTGATATTGGGTTCACATGTCAAGAAGCCCCCCTCGGTGCCAATCACCGCCGCCGTCGCTTCGAGTACCGGTACGGTACATGTACGAGTACTGCCCTGGCCTGTCTTGAATTGTGAAACCCTGTCGCGGGGATCTACTGTTTTGTGGGGCCGTATCATTATCGCAACGCAGCGCGATGGCAAGTGCCGCACTGTGCTGGTACTCGAGTACTGGTAGAGTAGGGAGGGGACCGAGTTCTCGAATACACAATATACCCCGCAAATACAGGTGTACTCGAGTGCTGCTTGAATAAAATGACCATACCTCTGTACAGTACTGGTACAGTGTATTATACTACATCCCTCCTTCCAAACAGGTTTGCTGTGTACCGTAATTTCCAAAAAAAAATACACCTCTACCGAAACACCTGTACCTTCCGTGTACTAGTACAGTACCAAGAGCTCTGAATCTCCCTACAGGCACTGTACCGGTATGTACTACCAGCGCTGCACCGGTAATGGTCGAGTTTCTGTTATTAATGTTCTTGTCTTCAGGACTGTGATCTGCTTCGGGTATTTTTGAAACGGCAAGTGCCCGGGGTGTGGGGTTTCGTGTTGTTTCCTTTCTTTTTTCCATTCTCCAGTGCCCGAAGGAGAAGGAGGGGCTGCTTACTCGCGACGGGAGATTGCCCACCGTATTCTGCTCGAGCGTTCGAGTACGGTACTCGTAAAAGTACCTTGCTGTGAAATGCTCCTCGCCTCCCCCCATCTCCTCTTTTCTTGTTTTATGGGGTGGGGAAGGGTGCTGTGCTGTACTGTACTCGTACCGGTATGCCCGTCTAGGGGACTCCTGAAGCGGGACGGAGCCTGATGCTTGGATGTAGGTTTTCACGACCGTATGGTACTTGTACTGTACCTATCTGATGATGCTTGGCCTCCACGATATCGCACCGGCTCTATGGGTCCTGCGGCTCATCGATATGCTGCCGATGTACCGGTATTTCAATATGGCGGGCGGTTTCTGGGTCCGGTACTGCACGATATGGGTAGGAGTTGGTTTGCCGTACCGTGTTGCGTTTTGCCTCCCCCCGTACCGTCAGCATTGATGGGATGGGAGCATTGACACTTGCAGATGGACCGATGGGATACCGGTATCACCGGATTGTCACTGTTATTTGCCCGTACCGTAAGGGTTCTGAGATTTCGCGTCGTTACCTTCGGAACGTAGTTAGATGTATGGTAACAAGTACCGGTACGGTGCCTGGGACTGTTCCATCAGATGCGGTACTGTACTCGAGTACCGGTAGCAATGGCCTGGGGAAACATGGGACCTAACATGATGATCCATTATCCATCATCCCCATCAATCAGCTCCGCTCCTCCTCTTCCCGCCGGTATGATATTACCGTATACTTGTGCTACCATTCACTGCATCCCCCTTTCCTTCCTTCAAGTTCTTGCACGCGCCACTGTTCCATCTACTGTGCTTGTATTAAACTCCCTCTTCCTCCTCCTCCTCCCCCTCCTCCTCCTCCCCAGAGCTATTTATATCGGCTCTCCGAATATGCTATGGCAGCTCATAACATTATTCGCCTACTTACCCGCCTAGCCCCCTGCACGGTCCTATGGTACAAGTTTTTGCTCCTTCTTCTTTAACTTGACACAATACCAGCACGGTGCGGTGCAGTACTGTACTGTACTGTCGCCCTGTCCGCCAATCTCGTTGTCTACTGGTAGGTAATAAGTACCTAGACTTCTAGGCTCTATCAGTAGTACTAGCACAGTACGGTACTGAGATGGAGCTTGTTGGTTCCACAGTGGGCTCTGCCTTTCCTAGCGGATTGGTGGGTCGGAGGAATTGAAGCTTCCCTGAGCTTATTGTCCCTAACGCAAGTCGGAGCGGGGAGAGAAAAGGAAGGGCCCTCCACATGTTCGTCTCGTTCATAACACTTTTTTTTTTTTTTTTTTTTTTTGCCCACACACAAACGACTCGAGTTTGGGGCTACAAAAGCCTCGCTTCGCTCGTTCATTACCGTACTTTATGCAGTACCGGCTGGTGGCCGGATCCGGACATTAGCATTATCGGGCTGGTGGTTCTGCATGCAAAAGGTTACCAGTTTGGAGGCGGCATCGGCCTAACGAAGAAAGAGAAGGGGGAGGGGGGAGAGGGAGAGGAAGCAGGGGAACGTAACAAAAAGGGCGGGGGAATACGGTATCATACCAGTAGGGAAGAAGGAGGAGGAAGAAAGAGAGAAGAGTTAACGAGAAGAGGCAGCAGCATCAGAAACAGAAGGAAGCAGGAAAAATCATCCACTCTCACTCCTCCTTCCCCCACCACCCCCATCACTCCGAACCAAACGGTCCAACCAAGTAGTTTACGGTCCTCCACCCCCTTCTCTCTTACTCCCCGGAATAACATAGCCCTCTCAGATATCAATGCTGTACCAATACCCGCTTGAGTGCCGCTAGCCCACGTTCCCTTTCCCTCCTGTCCTCCATCTAACTTATCTGCCTTGCGTGCTCCATAACCGCCAACTCTACCTTACTTTTTCTGTGTTCCTGGCGCACTATTCTCTTTAACCTATCCTACCTACTCGTGCCACAAGCATACCCTCTACAATACCTGCCCTGCCTACCCACCTTGCTGTACCAACCAAACCATCACCCATCCTTCACACCGTCGTCACCACTGAAACAGGAAATCAATAGCTTTCTTCCTCTTCTCTTTTTTAATATTTTCAACAACACCGATACAATAACTCTGTTGAGGCATCAATATAGTTCGGGAATCGAGGGATACCTCCTGGAGCGATGACGGAAAACCCGAGGGCTGAGAGTACGGGCGGTGGTGCGTCGCCGTCGGCCTCGTCGCAATCGGGCGTACCTAATAGTCAGAATACTTCACATCCAAGCTTTCGGAGGTACGCTTCTTAAAACCTCCTTTGCTTTCCTGATTCCCCACCTTTCCCTTCCCTTGTTGCTCTCTTTTGGAAGAAGAAAAAAGCAACAAAAAAAAACAAGATTCATGTCATGCCCCACAAAGTCCCTTTTCGTCGTCTCTATTTCCCCCAAGATGGCAAAAGAAAAAAAGCAATACCAGGAGCGTTTCCGGATACAAGGAATGGGGAACCTCTGGGTTTGCAAGGGGGAAAAGATCCAATTTGTCTGGAAGTATTACTGCTAGGGGAAAATGAGACCCTCGGGGGATATTGCCTTGGATGAGAAGAGCCGTAGGATAATGAGAGAGAGTTGATGACGGGGAGTTTTATTGTCGATTTACTGACGGGTTGGAATGGCCTTGGCTCTCGGCGTTTTGGCTCCTACAATAGGCAACGTGCGGCCAGAGCTTGTGAAGTGAGTGTCTAAAAGAAATAGTGGAGATATCTGTGGGGCATTTTTCGTCGTTTTCGGATTATCGAGAGAGAAAAAGCCGCTGCTATGGGGGAGGTTGTTGCATTACTTCGAGTAAAGGCTGACTTAGTTCCGATTGAACACAGACATGCCATGCGCGAAAGGTACGATCAGCTCCCTGGCTTTGCCTTTGTTTTTGCGTAGGGGTTTCTACGGATAGCTGATGAGTGGCACAGGTTAGGTGCGATGCCGCCAGCCTGGGTGTCCCGTGCACGAACTGCGTCGCCTTTTCCATCGAGTGCAAGATTCCCACGCCGAAGAGGAAGAAGGTTGTCGGAGCCACAAAGTCAAAGGATGGTGATGATGAGTACGCTTTAGCCTTTACCCGGCTGATCTTTAGAGTTGGAGATGGGGGCGATTCTGACGATGGACATTGGTGGGCGGGGGAAAGTAGGTCTTCGGAACGACAAGGCTCCGTACAAGGCCCGTCGCCGTCGCCGGTCGATAATATCCAAATGAACTTCAACAAAACACCGCAAGCTACAGTTTTACCGCACCAGGACGGCACCCCAAACGCAGGCTTCCCGGAAGCTAAGTCAGCCCAGGTCGCCGCCGATAATAGGACTCTTACCCAGTTTATGAAGCCCAGGTTCGCCAGGGCCCCCATCAAAGAGGCTGGAAGGGTTGCTTATTTAGGTAGGACGTGGTGCGGGGGGCAGTTAGTATATGCGAAGGCTAACCGGGGCTTAGGTGAATCATCAAATCTCAGCTTACTGGTTCACGAGAAACATGGCACGCCGGAGGTTGTGCACTACCCACTACCGGAGAATGTTCGAGGGTCGAGGGCTAGGTTAACGGAACTGGACACCATTGAGATCGAAATCCTCCACCAAAGGGGTGCTTTCCTGTTACCCCCAAGAGCTCTCTGCGACGAATTGGTCGAAGCGTACTTTAAATGGATTGCCCCGATTGTACCCGTCATCAATAGGAGCAGGTTCATGCGGCGATATCAAGACCCTAAGAATCCACCATCACTCTTGTTATTGCAGAGCATATTGCTCGCTGGGTCAAGAGTGTGCACGAATCCGCAATTGATGGATGCTTCTGGGTCTACTACCCCGGCCGCTATGACCTTTTACAAGAGAGCTAAGGCGTTGTATGATGCAAACTACGAGGATGACCGCGTTACCATTGTGCAGTCGTTAGTGTTGATGGGGTGGTATTGGGAGGGTCCTGAAGGCTTGTTCATCATCTGGTGTTTATAGTAGCACGTGCTAATCTTCAACCTCAGATGTAACGAAGAATGTATTTTATTGGAGTCGGGTAGCCACCATTGTAGCTCAGGGTTCCGGTATGCACAGGAGGTTTGTATGCGAGTGATATCTGGAGGGTCGGACTTTGACTAATTCAGTATAGCGTTGAGCACTCTCAATTAAGCAATGCGGACAAAAGGCTATGGAAGCGGATATGGTGGACACTCTTCACTAGGGACCGAATGGTGGCTGTTGCTCTTGGAAGACCGGTGCACATCAACACTGATGATTCAGATGTCGAGATGGTCCAAGAGGAGGATTTCTTGGAGGACGAACCTGGATTCCCCGCGGAATATCCACCAAACACTCTCCATATCCAATTCTTCCTTCACCATGTCAAACTATGTGAAATTATGGGATTGGTACTATCCCAGCAGTACTCAGTGGCATCCAAAGCAAGGAGGAGGCAGAACGCGATTGATCTAGTCCACAGCGATCTTGCACTTGCCGACTGGATGTTGCATGTGCCGCCGAACATGCGCTATCACATCGAAGATAAGTCGAGACAAAACTTCTGGGCGGCCTTGCTTCATTCTACTTATTAGTGAGTTGATGGATCTTTTTTCTCTTTTCGTATGTTTTGCTTCGGATGGTATACTGAAAAGTTAACGTAGCACAACTCTGTGCTTGCTCCACCGGGCCCATATGCCGCCGGTGAGTACCACTCCCAGTGGGATAGAGGACACCTCCTATCCTTCACGGAATATCGCTTTCAGGGCTGCAACGGCTATCACCTCCATTATTGATAATTTAGCCGAACATGATCAGCTCAGATACTGCCCCGCATTCATTGTGTACAGCCTCTTCTCGGCTTTGATCATGCATGTGTACCAGAATCGTTCGGCAAACCCGACAGTGGTTGCCGAGTCCAAGGAGCGCATGGGGAAGTGCATGAAAGCCCTGAAGGATATTTCGAAAGTATGGATTGTGGCGAAGATGGTATACACACTTTTCGAGTCCATTCTGGGAAATAAGGCCCTGGAGGAGCGGCTCCAAAAGTCTGCTGGCCGCCGCCACCACCCCCGGAAGCATCAGCATAACCGGTCCAATAGGGAAAGCTCGACCTCTGCGGAAGCTCGCAGCACCACTGAGCCCATCAAGAGAAAATTTGATGAGATGGATATAGGCGGCCATCCCGGAAGACCAGTACCCAATATGTCATACGAAAGATCCAGGCCTCAGACACCAGCCCCAGCCCCAGGAAGTATCCAGAACAATGCAGCGGGCATGTCGGCTCCGGGTAACGCAACACCACATCTCCGACAGGGAACAGATATATTCATGGGTGGACAGAGCCAGGGAGGAACGCGTCCCCCCACTCCGTTCCAACAACCGAACATGTCCGTTCCCGCCACCCCTCCAGACCTTTACTTGGTCACACGATCTTCCCCGCCAATTCCCCAAAGTCTATGGGAGAATTTCCAGCCCGGCCAGCTCTTTCCAGACGATTCTGGTATCACATACCTATCACCACCGAATCACAATAGCAATTCGGCGCTGGACCCGCAACTAGCGAGTTCACCCATGCCGTTATCACAGCATTCGGTGAACCAGCACATGCAAAGCCAGATGCAAGGCACGTCGCCGGCCCCCATGAGCGGCATACAGAACACAGGCCTGCCCCAGCAGCACTCCTGGCCGAGCCCATTTGAGATGGACCCAAATGGAGCTATGGGTTCTGGGAGTAGCCCTGAAGACACCTGGAGTAATAGCAGTACCGATAAGATAGTTCCGACGACCCTTAATGTCGAAGATTGGTATGACTATCCTCCTACTCCTTCTGCTCTTGGGCTAGGGACGCTAACGCCAGATGGGTAACAGGTTTAACTTCTTTGGACTAACCGGGGAACTTGGAACCCTTGGCGAGAACGGGGCGCCAATCTAAAGATGAATGAAGGGAAGTAATAATATCACTCGTTTCTTTGCTATAATATCGCGGGACTTTTCTCCCTGCTTCTCAGTTATTGTGATGCTATCTACGTTCGCTATATCCCCCCCCCCCGAGAGAGGCAGGAATGCGCTTTTTTTTTCTTTCTTTCTTTTTTTTCTTGCTTTTTCTGGATGGGAGTTCCCTCTTTTCATTCTCGCTTTGTTTTCGGGTTTTTCGTCGGGTCATCAAAAAGATTCAGAGCGAGTGAGTGAAACAAGGATGTAAGATGGGTGTGTTCCGAGATTTAGCCATTTATGTGTATGTCCGGCAAACGATGGGGCGTGTTTCTCCTTCGAAAGGGTGGGTGGGTGGATGGAGTTTGAATTGGTAAGGGGTGTGGGTGTTTTCCCACCTTAAGGTTTTCTTTTTCTTTTTTGGTTACGGGATTAATTGTGAAGCTTATGTGTGTTTGTTTTTGCGTCTATAATTCGTTGGGGTATAATGTAATGGTAAACTCTTGTGCCCTCTTAGTGGAGTAACGTATGGCAGTTTCACGGCAGCAGTACCGGTGGTTAATAGCGTGGAGGTATGATACGTTGGTCGAATCTTGATACATCACAAATCCTCACTCGCCCCTTCCACCGTGCGATTACACCACTCCATTCCCCACCATACCGTAGCGTAAGGAATTAAACAAACGGTAATTCCCGAACGAAGCACATTTTCTACTCTTGTTTTCAGGAATGGGGATTGGGGATACGGCACAAGCGGAGAGTGTGTGAGTCACCGGAAAGTTGAGACCCGGCTTTCGATATATTGCGAGATGGCTAAGTTAGATTAGATGATCCACGGTAGAGCTTGATGGCGCTCCACTGTGCCCATGGAGTATAGGATTGAACACCGGGTCCTTCCGGTATCATACTTTTTTTTTATAATTTTATAATTTTTTTATTTCTACAATATTTCCTTCGCCCGGGGAGCACTAAGCGTGATAACGCACCGGTATTATTGCCATGGTTTTATCGTATCATACGGTGCCCTTCCGGGTTGGGTTTGAGCGGGCGTTGGGTTGCGGTGTGCTGTGGACGTCTTTGTTCCTGTGTGTCCGTCCGGGGTTTTCGATGTGTGCTGGTCTGCAGGATCGTACCGCACAGTACAGTACTCTACCGGTTTGTGTCAGGTTTTGATCATGAACTGAGGTATGATATGATACCGTTTGGTTTCTGGAGGGTTTATAATATTGCTGTATTGTATGATACTGTATCATATCATCCAATTAGCCGTTACACGGAAGGAAAAGGAAGAGTAATTTTCCTCTCTCTCTTTGTCTCTCGCTCTTTCTCTCACTCTTTCTCACCTCATACCGTACTCACACACGCGAGCACACACACACACATCTTCTTGCTACTCTACGAGTGGTCTAACTATCATAACTTACCGCATCTGACGTTATTATTATTATTATTATTATTATTATTATTTATTTATTTTTAATGACCAGCAAACTCCTCACCCTCCCAACCGACGTTCTCATCTCCATAATCGTTCACCTGCCCACTGCTTCGTGCCTAACACACCTCTCGCAGACGTGCAAGTCCCTGCACATCTTCATATCTGCCGAGGGCTGGCGCGTCTTCGTGCAATGCCAGCACGCCGGCTTCCACGCGAAGGTGACGAGGGCGCTGCCGCACGGCAAGCCGGCTTCCACGTGGAACCGGTGGGCGGAGGAGTTGACGGTGACGCGGAGCAACTGGGACAATTTTGGCTTCCTCGCGAGCGGCCTGTTCGTCGAGGGGAAGTGGCGGAGCCGGAGGAAGAAAAGGGAGGAGGAGCGGAGGCTGGGCTTGCGGCATCGGGAGCGGGAGGGCGCGTGCGTGCCTGTTATCGATCTCTGGGAGGGGTGGGCGGGCGGCGAGGAGGTGCTCGTCATGGGCGCTGGGGTGAACATGATGATGAGGAAGAGGACGAGGCATGGGAGGAGTGATGGGTGGTGGAGGTATGAAGGGGTTGTGGATAGGGGTAGGGATATGGATGAGGGGGAGGAGGGAACAGGTGGGGTCGAGGGGGGCGAGGGTGGGGAAAAACCGACGGTCTTTGAGATTTTAAATGCGAAGCATCGCGCAGATTACCTTCGCAGCTGCAGGGATAACCCGCAGGATTACACTGCCGTCCACCTTTTGGGCTCCCACGGCTGGGAGGACGCGGAGATCGCCGTTGTCGGACGAGCTTCTGGCGCGCTGGAGATGGTGAAATTGACTACGGGCGCCGGAAGGGCCGGGAGAATGAGCGTACTGGGACGGTTCGAGACTCCAGCGCGCAAGTGTGAGTGGAGTCCCAGGATCGGCAAGTACACCTCCATACTCCCGCACGCTGGTTCCGGGAACCAGTACGGCCTCATGAGCGCTGGTGCGAGGACCGGCCCGGCGTCGAGGGTTGCGCTCTACAGGGTGCATATCCCCTCCAACGACGATTTTCAGGTGATGCCCGAGGCGCCGGTGTCGGAGTTCGAGATCAGCGCTGGCGATGGGGATATCTGGAGCACGAATTTACTTTCGCCTGAGTATTTGGCTGTCACGAAGACTAATAGTTGTGAGAGTCCTTTGTGCGTCTACGCTGTCGCTCCGGATGGGATTCGGAAGAGGCCGGTGAGGTCCTTTGCCAATCCGGTTATGTTCGGAGCAAGCACGGATGCTACTGCTACGGCCCGCTTGGAGAGTTTTGCGGGGGAATTACCTTCTGGGCAGGTCTTCTTGAGTGCATGGTCCAGTGGTGACTTGAGGTATTTTCTCCCATTCTACTCTTGGGGCTTCTTGGGGCTTGTGGATGGGCTAATACTGACGACGAAAGCATGCACGACCTCCGCTCCCCCAAGGAAACCGTCGGCCGCTGGGGTAGCTTCATATCCAAGCCCATCCGTTCCCTGCACACCCTGGGCTCTGGAAAATTCCTGGTGGGCCACAGCGAAGCTTGCATGCTCCGAGTCTGGGACATTAGGAGCAAGTACTGCGACTTGGAAGAGTGCGTACCGAACGAGGGCAAATGTTCGAAATACCCGTACAGCTGGGTCACCAACTTTCACCTGCCGGGGCGCTCCCGGCCGGAGCCCATGGATCCCGTGTTCGCGCTCGCCGTGTCGCCCTGGACGGAGAAGAGCGTGTACGCCGCCACACCGGGCATGGTCTGGGAGTTGAATTTCGCTGGCACCATGACCAGAGCGCCTGAACGTGTCCCCGTGGCTCCGGGGGTGCCGGCGTGGAAGAAGATGTGGAAGCGCTCCAGGGTGTGGAGGAAGCCGGATGGGGAGAAGGAGATGGTGGAGCCAGTTACGCTCGCGGTTAGGGCTTATAACGGGCTGCTGTGGGGGATGCATTATCAGCAGCCACCACGGAGGGTTTATCAGAGATATGTGTAGATTTTTATTATTTTTATTTTTGTATTTATTAAGCGATGTATATAAGGAATATTATATATTATTATTATATTTGTATATTATATTAATACGAGTGTTTTTTTTTTTGTTTATAGGTACAGTGGGGTTTTTTTTTTGCAGCTGCCGGTATGATAATAAATAGGAGTGGTAATCCATCCGAGTGATTGAGAATGATCATACCGATCCAACTCTAACAGCATCAACCAGCAATCTCCCCCACTCGCACCATAATTATCATATCATATCAAAAGCACACCCAACACCCCACCCCGCCAAACCAAACCAAATAAACAGCCCCCACCCATGTCCACCCCGAAACCCCTCTACGCAATCACCAAAACCACCCACGAGACCCCCCCTCCCCCAACAGCGGAGAAGCCAGAAACAGAAACGGAGACGACGACGACAACCACCGAGATCCACGCCGTGTACGGCGACCGCGAAGCCGCCAATCGCGCGGCTAGGGCTTTACTGCGGCGGGTGGCGGCGGGCGCTGGAAGGCTGGGACGGCACGGGAATCCGACGGGCGGGTATGAGGAGAGTATGGGTGGGGATTCGCTGTATTTTGGCGGGTTGGAGGGGCCCGGTGGGAGGGTTGAGGTTAGGGTTTTGGGGGTTTGGGGGTATTTGTAGTGTACTTGTACTGTGCCGGTATTGTGTTGTGTGATATTGTTTTTAAATTTTTTTTTTTTGGTGGTTGTTGGGGTTGGTGGGGGTGCTGTATTGTAGGATAGGAGGGGGTACTGTACTTGTACTGCATCGTTACTTGTTGGGAAGAAGGTGAGAGTTTCTTGTCGCGTGGTCGCGTGCGTGGGTTTGGTTAAAGTGTTGTCTTGGGGGGGGGAAAGGAAGAGGAGGGAAATGAGGGAAAGAAAAGAAAAGAAAAAAAACGCGTCCCCCCCCTATGTTTGTCTGTGGTCGTGGGTAACTTGACGTGTTGATTGACTTCGACACACACTACTACTACTCACAACTGTCATCAACGGTAGTGTTACTATCCAATTGACCGGTTACTCTGCTTCCTTCTTACGCTCTCTTTCAAGCATTCACGAATAAGTTCTTCTTCCTCTTCTCCCAAGTCGTATTATTCTTTCCTTCACTCTTTGGTCCAGTTTTTTTCCCCCTTTGATACGGCTTTCCCACCTTCCTTCCTTTGTGAATTGTTCCTTCCCTACCTATGTCTTGATTTGTTTGATTGAGTGAGTACGTTAAGGAATAAACACTTTTAGATAGGGAACAGAACCGACGCTCTACACTCTTCGAAGATATTGCCAAAGTTGTGTGAATAGCAACGCGTTTCACCTGTCTGCATCTGCCCCCCTATTCTCTCACCCACTCACCTCAACGGCTACCCCATACACGGAATGTACATCCCCCGACCCCTCCTCTCCTCCGCCTATGCCCACCTGAAAGCCCACGCGCACTCCACAAACCCGTCAATTCTCCTCCTCTGCGCCCTGGACACTGATTCCCTCTGCGCCGCACGCATCCTCACGCATCTCCTCAAGCAAGACTACGTACCTCACAAGATACACCCGGTCGCCGGGTATCAAGAGCTCGAGAATGTTAACAAGACGCTTGTCAAGGGGAACGAAGAGCTGCGGTTTGTGATTTGCTTGGGGTTGGGAGGGTTGGTTGACATTGCCGCGTTTTTGGACTTGAGTGGTGGGAGGGGAGAAGAGGAAGAAGGGAGGAAGAGGAGGGTGGAGTGTTGGTTGGTGGATGGGAGGAGGCCGTGGAATTTGTATAATGTTTTTGGTGACGAGGGGCAGAAGGAGGTGGGAGGGGAAGGAGCGAATGGGAAGGTTAAGGGTGGGAGATATGGTGTTGGTGAGGGGGTCGGCGGGGTAAAGTGCTTTGATGATGGGGATATTGAAGAGGATTTGGAAGGGGAGGGCATGGCGTTCCGGGCACTGGTGGATATGCCGGAGGTTGATGAGGATAGTGATGATAGCGACGATGATGATGATGATGATGAGGAGGAGGAGGGAGAGGAAGGGGGGGTTGAGAGTGAGGGGGGAAGAGAGGATGAGAGCGAAGATGGTGGGGTGCCGGTCCAGCCGAGGGTTGGGTCTGCAGTAGGAGCTGCCAGTGGGAGGAAGAGAAAGAGTTCTGAACAACCTGATGATGATAGTGACCATGAGGGAGAATCGGATGGAGAGATACCGAGAGTTCGTCGGCGGAGGAGGACTGGGAGTGACCTGGTTTGTCTTCCACTGCTTAATTGACTTTAGCTTGGTGGATGCTTACACTTCACATGTAGTCTTCCCGGGAATCTTCACCATTGATTCACAGACATACACTTCTTTCCTACCCTTCCTCCAAAGCACTCGCCTCCTCGCCCCCGCCCGCACGCTCACATTCCCCGCCTTCTTCACCTTCACAGCGATTGCCCCTTCCACCACCCGAGCGTCCTCCACCATCCACAAAACTTCTTCGGAGAAAACTCCGTCGTCTGCGAGCAAAGCACGAGTCTACGGTTTCAAGTTACTACATGCAGGGAACCTGGCACGGCGAGCCAATATCTGGTCTTCTTTACTCCCTAGCATCCGATCTTGGCCGTGAGGATAATGACCTTCTCTGGCTGGCCATCGTGGGCATCTCCTCCGGGGAGATTATCGGTCGGGGGGCAATCTCTGGTCCACCAAGGAAAGCTGGAGGTCTCGGCTGGGTAAGCACTACTCGAGAAGACCAGATCCGTGGAGTCCTCCGAGATGAGGTCCGCAGATTGAATCCTCCGGAGGCCCCACACTCAGGCACCTCCAATGCTTCAAGCAGCGGTAGTAACAGTTTACAGACCACCGCTCGATCACCGTCTGATACAGCCATCAGGTTATCACCGGAATACAGGTTCATGCTCATCCGCCATTGGTCATTGTATGACTCCATGTTGCATTCTTCCTTCTTGGGGACAAAATTACATATCTGGTCAGAGTCCGGGAGGAAACGGCTGCACAAGTTGTTGGCAAAGATGGGGTTTAGTCTTAGTCAGTGCAAACAAAGCTATACGCACATGGACATGGACTTGAAGCGGAGTCTTCGCGAGAGGTTAGAGAAGTACGCCCCACTGTACGGCCTCGAAGGTGTCGTACGAGAGGGGTTTGTTAGGTGCTGGGGGTTTAGAGGGTGCCTTAGCGCAGTGGACGTAGCATATGTCGTAGGTGGACTTTTAGAAATGGGACGAAGGGGTCATAACAACGCCAACAATTCAACAACTACACCATCATCATCTGCTGGTAAAGCCCCAGAAGCACCGGTAGACCCTGATCCAACCGATGAAACCCGTAGAGAAGAAGCAAGAGAATCCGAGAGTTGGATAGCTAATTTCTGGTCTGCTTATGATGCGCTCGAAGAGTACCCTCCCCCTCCTCCCTTCCCTTTCATCTTGGCTGACATTGGCTAGCATCGAAGCTTTAAAATCCGCCCTCCCAACAGCGATGGATTTGACCCGTGCAATCCTACGAACCGGCACCGCATTAATTGAGAAGCGTCAAATTCGTCTTCTACGCGCCTTCCGGCTTGCAGTCGTTAAGGAGGGTCCCGATGTCTCAACATTCACCCACCCCAGTGCATTATCAAAGTTGGCTCTATGGCTTGGCGAAGCTATTCTAGAGCAAGAAAAGGAGCTCAGGAAGAAGCAGCATTTGCCTCTCGTCGTTGCGAGTCTCAACGAGCGGCGGGGTGTGTATGTGGTTGTGGGCACTGCATTGGGAAGCAGAGCTGGCGGTGCTAAAAAGAAGCCTGAGGGTGAAAAGCGGGGTAAGGGGAAGGAAAAGGAAACTGGAGGAGGCGGGGAGGAAGGGAAAGAAGAAGAGGAGGAGGAGAAGGAAGAGGAGGAGGAGGAAAATGAGGATTCTTCAGACGACGAAGATGCGATGCTGGAGCGCCGTTCCGGGCGGAATAGATTCGGAATGGCATTCCAGGAAGTAGCCAATAGTACCAACGCGCGCATCCGAATCGACTCGTTCGAAGCTACGGTCGTGGAGGTTAGGAAAGAGGATCTCGCTGGGTTTTTGGAGGGACTCAGTCTTAAGAGTGTTGTTGGGTGAACTTTCTACCTTATTCTGGGCGATAGCGGTAGTGATGGTGTATGGTGTGTGATGATTTGTTTTCTTTTTATATATATATATTTCTTTCCTTCTACGTAAATTCGTTTTCATAGTATCATACCTACCTGTGATTATCATACATGGAATGGGGGTCTTTGTGGTGTGATGGTGAGAATTTCTCAGCTAGGGTTGTATGGATAGCCGGTTGTTTGGGATGGGATGGGTATGGCAGGATATATGGATGGGCTAGGGTGGTTACCTACTGATACCACTTTCCTCATGGCCACACGCCTATGGGTGTATGTACATTGTGCGTAATATATGGTTTCCAACATGCGTTTTTTTTCTTTTCTTTTCAACCACGAGTGAGTGTTTGTGACCCCCCCCGCAATATATCATATCCATTTGAGTATTATAATATGGTCCTCGACAAAAAGAAAATTTACCACGAGGCGAGAACGAACAAGATCCCTTCACATTCTTTAAAAAAAAACCCCCAACCTTGTCTCTCCATAGTTTCCTCTATTTGATAAACAGTAAGAAAGCAAACTGATTAACGTGGGTGCGATGGCGTACTTGTGATTACTGTGCTCGCATCATACTTATTTCTGTCTGTCTGTCTGTCTGTCTGGATGGGAGTATGATAGCACTACTAGTACTTCATCTATAGTACTGCTCCCGGGCAGTTATTATATACCCCCAACTACAATAACCAAAAAAAAAAACAGCGAAGGAAGTAAAGTAAAGTAAGCATAGGTACGATATATGAATGTTTGTAAAAATTGGATAGGGTTTTTCCGGGCGAGGTAAAATAAAAATATAAAAATATAAAAAAACATTTATTTATTTATTCCTGTGTTATCGATATTTAAGTTCACGACTCTAGCACGGTCTCAAGCGAGTCTAGGCGTTGTATAATACTGTGCCCTAGCGCAGTCTGGTCTGGTCTGGTCTGGTCTGGTCTGGTACCGGTGTGGAAGTGTCTCGGTTGTCTTCCGGAGTTTGGATGGTGTGATTGACCGAGCTGACACCTGTGCAATTGTGGTAACCGTACAACGTAATATTTGATCGGATAAGAGTGTAGAATTATACTGATAAAGTTGACAGTAAAACACAGTGAGAAAGCAAGCGAAAGGAGTGGGGAAAACAGCACCCAGAAACAACAGTAAAGAAGGTGGTGGTGTTGGTTGTACAGGATGGGTTTTCGCTGTCTTGTCCCTCCACTCTCTCTGAGGAAGGCAAGGCCATGCCTCCAGGTGAAAAACAGCCACCTGCTAAGCCTCATCTCAAACAGAAAATTCTATGGGCGAAAACCCAGCAAACATGACCAGAAAACCCCTAAAACCTTCCTCGCACCACACCGGTACTGCATGTTTCTCGGGTGCCCGTGCTTGACGAGGATTACTGTATGATACCAAGCACAAGCGTGCCCATGGTGTGAGGGTATCATTAGACCATGCGTAGTGCGCGGAATGTGCTGCGGAGCTCTGTTTTTTTTTTTTGGATTGAGTGGTGGGCCGGACTGCAGTAGAGCCCAGGCTGAGGTGAGGAATATTGATAAGAGGGGGGAATCATATCACGGGTTCCTTTCTGGGAAATAGAGGATAGGGGGGATTCCTTTCCAAATTCTGCGAGTACCTGTTGTACTATTGTGGTATTATAGGCTTACTGGGTTGGCAGCGAGGTTGCTTGGGGGTGTTCTGGCGGGTATGTGTTTCTATTTGCTCGTGTGGGATATCTGGCGTTTGACTGGGATGGACATAGTGTCCCTTCTAGTTCATGCGGAATTCTTCCACTGAGCCTGGGGCCTACTGGGTGGCAATGGGTGCGATAGAATTTCTAAACCCATTATCAACAACTGCATCCTAGTTTTTGTGTATTATATAGGTGGTGGATCACCGGAGGCCATGAACTATACTTGTAGCCGGGGTATATATATGAGTGATACTCCATGATCCCACCTCGTCCCCAAAAGCTATAGGAGGGAATCAAAATCAACATACCCAACGGCATTGCTGAAAATACGGCACAACGAGAAATTTGGCACATGATATCATATCTCAAATTTTCAGCAAAATGGCTCCAAACAATTGATTCCCAAGTAGCTAAAAAGGTGCTGATTCTATAGTAGTTGCTTTACGGTTTTCCAAAGCATTTTAGGCACCTACTATTTGTGCTGTTAGGTGCGTTTTTTAATCACCAGATTTCACTGTTACGTGGGAAAAAAAAATTAAGTTGCCCATAATTATGCATCGCTTTAATTAGAATTCAAAAAGTACTATTTTTTGATTCGAAATGTCCACACAAGCTCTCAACGCATGCCAGACTAAAATTTATAGGTTGACAGCTGAAACAAATTTCTGGATCAGCCTTCTTCTATACCTGCAGAGGTGGAATTCGGGGAAAAGTCTTACCAGTTCTGAACTTGTTCCCAGCATAGATGGCCTGCCCACCTAATTCCTCCTCGATACGGAGGATCTGGTTGAGCTTGGCAAGACGTTCACTTCTTGCAGGGGCACCAGTCTTGATCTGGCCAGCGCGAAGACCAACAACGATGTCCGCAATTGTCACGTCTTCAGTCTCTCCGGAACGGTGGGAGACCATGACACCCCACCCGGCGGCGTATCTATATTCATTGGCCTTCATAGAACAAAACAAAACGAGGGGGCAAACTCACGAGTCCTTAGCGGCCTGGATGGATTCAGTGAGAGTACCGATCTGGTTAACCTTGAGAAGGAGAGCGTTACAGCTCTTCTCGTCAATGGCCCTCTTGATACGAATGGGGTTGGTAACGGTCAAATCGTCGCCAACAATCTGGAAGTCGCTGGTCTTGTAAAAGTGGGTCCAGGCCTCCCAGTCATCCTCGGCGAAGGGATCCTCAATGCTGACAATAGGGTATCTCTGAGCGAGGCTCTTGTATAGGTCAGCCAACTCCTGATAGGTTAACCACTTGCTGCTATCAGAGTCAGGGTTCTGTCAATCCCGGCGTTAGCGCCCCGATAAGATCTCAGTTCGTGCAAGTCCCAACAAACCTTAAAGTCAAGATCGTACTTCTTAGCGTCCTCCTTGTAGAACTCAGAAGACGCAACATCCATAGCAATTTTTATCTGGCCAGTATATCCAGCCTTGTCAATAGCATCGGTGATGAGGTCAAGAGCCTCCTCAGCGGTCTGAATATCGGGTGCAACACCACCTTCGTCACCAACGTTACCAGCAGACTGGCCGTACTTCTTCTTGGTAAGGGTCTTGAGGATCTGGTAAACCTCAGCTCCCTGCCTCATAGCCTCGGTGAAGCTCGGGGCCTCACAGGGAACAATCATGAACTCTTGGAAGGCGAGGCGACCTGGATATCATGCTTATTGGTAAGTTACGGGAAGGGGAAAATTATACAAGGGTGTAATCTAATAACGCACCTCCAGCATGGGATCCTGAAACAGCCAATTATTAGCATACAATTTTGACTGGGCATGTGCACCTCTGCTAGCTGCAAGGGGAATGGGTTCAACGGGGGTTTCCGGAAGGGGAGTGTAACGAACCTCCATTGATGACATTCATGAACGGAACCGGAAGAACGAATGGCTTTTTAGTACCGGCAAGATCCGCAACATGGGCGTAGAGTGGAACGCTCTGTAATACTCAGCTATTAGCTCCTAGCATAGTCCAAAAAAAATAGCCCTTGAACTCCAAGCTTCGAGAGAAACCAGAAACTACTCGGGAACTAGAGGGAAGTGCTAAAACAGGAGGGTCATGAGAGAAATGGGAATAGGAAAAGGCAAGTCCTGTGACAGAGAACAAAACGAAAAATACAAAAAAGGAAGATAGCGAATCATGATAATGAGGGGGAGGTATGCGTCAAGAATAAGAACTCTGGATGACATGATGACTGCAGGAGAGATAAAGAGAACACCGAGTAACGAACCCAGCAACAGAAGCCTGAGTACGACTCGGCAACAAGGGGGAAAATGAAGAGTGGTAAGATAGAATGCGTACCTTTGCAGCAGCTCCGGCCTTAGCAACCGCCAAAGAGACACCGAGAATAGCGTTGGCCCCAAACTTGGCCTTATTTGGGGTTCCGTCAAGATCATTCAAGAACTTGTCGATGGTAGCCTGGTCCTTGACGTCGAACTTTTCCTTAATGAGAGCGGGAGCGATGATGGTGTTGACATTCTCAACGGCCTTGAGAACACCCTTCCCTCCCCATTTGGTCTTGTCTTTGTCACGAAGCTCAATGGCTTCGTGTTGGCCGGTGGAAGCACCAGAGGGAACGATGGCCCTATGCAGGCCGGTATCGCTGGTAGTGAGATCTACCTCGACGGTGGGGTTACCGCGAGAGTCGTAGACTGAACGGGCGTGAATTTTGGTAATCATTCTGAAAGGTTTGTGATGGGATAGATGGTCAACTGGATCGGATGGAAGGTGGGAGATGAGGAGGGAGAGAGAGGGAGAGAGGAAGGGGATAAACGGGATGGAGGGAAAAGGGAGAAGGGAGGGTTTATCGAATTGAGGGGTTTTGTTTGTGGGTAAAAAAACTAAAGGGAAACCTGGGAGGCCGTGTAAGACCGATCAAAGAATAAGCAGGGATAAGACCTCTATCTGCTTCCACACAGCATTGCTGGGTATCAGGGAGGGGGTTTTGCTGAGATGAGGCTTGGTTGTGAAGGGGAAGATAGAGCGTGGGACCAATGTAAACGGGATGATATCAACGTGATGGTGTTCAATTACGTTTCTATACGAGTACACAGAGAAAGAGAGGGAAAAAATTTTCCTGTTGAGATAGAGATTATTAACGGGCGGAAGGCTTGCTTTTGTTTCCGGCGTAGGTGGGCGGGGAGGTTGTGTATTTTTCTTTTCTCAACTTTGGCCGTGTTTATTCGATTTGCTGTGCGATTTTGTCAATAAATACTTATGGTGGTGGTGGTGGTACCGGTAGTCTACTGTACGAGTAGTATTTTCACAGGTACCGTACAAGTATGATACCCTACCTGTGCGAGATATGATGCAAGAACAAATTGGGCGGGCTAATGAGTGAGTCTACAAAGGCAGGGGGAGGGGTTGGTGGGGGAATCGGTTGCGTCTCAAGGTTGCCCCACCTTCCTCCCCCACCAATTTGAATCCTTACAAATCCCCCGGTCACGTGGGATGGGTGGCAAAAATCACTTGATTCTCTTACAAACTTCATCCCCGATACCGGTATCAATATTGACTAAGGGGAGATTTAGGAGACCTCCGGATTCCTACTTTGGATCAAGTATATTTCGCCCCAAGTCGGACGCGCCCAAAGTATTCAATTTTATTTACTGTTCAATTGACCTAAAAAATGCCTAAAGATGTAGATAACAAGAGAAACAAAAAAAGTACACCTACGCCTTGTGGATTTTGCAAATAAGGTCAGAACCATCAACGGAATCACCTTCCTTCACTTCAAGCCCGACCACGACTCCAGAGTGAGGAGCAGTGACGCTCATTTCCTGGATCCCAAGTTAGCATATCGTAATTCTATAGGTAGAAATGGTAGTTCCTTACCATTTTCATGGCGCTCATGATGGCAATGGGATCGCCTCTCTTAACCTCAGTGTTCTCCTTGACTCGGACTTCGACAACAACACCAGCCATGGGTGCTCCAACATGGCTAGGATCCTTGGGGTCGGCCTTGGGACGACTCACGTTCTCAACGGCTATGAATAGTAAGTTACCATGTCTTGCCGGAAAATAAAAGAGTCGGATGGACATACCCGCGTGCTTATCTTCAATTAAGAGCGTTCTGCCTTCACCATTCATCTCAAAGAAGACTTCCCTTTGACCGGTCTGCTCAGAGATATGACCAACAGCCAACAATTTGAGAATCAAAAGCTTCCCTTTCTCGATCTCAACATGGAACTCTTCCCCAAGCTTGGGGCTAACCAGGAAGTACTTGGTAGGGAGAACGCTGAGATCGCCGTACTTGTCACAAAAGTCTTTGTAGTCGGAGAAAACCTTGGGGTACATGTTGTAACTCGCGACATCGCATTCCGAGACAGCGCCATACTTGCTTTCGAGTTCGGCCCTGATCTTGCCCAGATCCACCGGCGGCATAGACTTTCCGGGGCGCTCAGTCAACTTTTGACGCTGCCCGCGAAGAACCTTGGTGCGAAGGGGCTCGGGGAAGCCGCCGTATGGTTGACCCATCAATCCCTCAAAGAAATCAAGAATAGAAGCGGGGAAATCTAGGGTCTCGGCTTTCTCAATCACATCGTCATATGAAAGCTTATTGGAGACCATAAATTGAGCAAGGTCTCCAACAACCTTAGATGTAGGTGTAACTTTGACGATATCCCCGAGGAGTTGGTTGGCCAAAGTGTAGGATTTCTTGGTTTCCGCCCATTGTGTTCCGAGACCCATCTGACTGGCTTGAAAAATCAAGTTTGTAAGTTGCCCGCCAGGAATTTCATGAAGGTAGACTTCAGGATCCGGACCGGTTAGACCAGCCTCGAAGCAAGAGTATAGAAGGCGTAATTGGGCCCAGTATCCATCAATTGCGCGGATGTGACTAGCATTGAGTTTGGGATCCTGGTCGGTACCCTCCAAAGAAGCCAACAATGCTCCAACGCTTGGCTGAGACGTCATACCAGACAAACTGTCGGTAGCAGTGTCAACCGCATCGGCGCCTGCTATAGCGCAAGCAGCCATCGAAGCCACGCCAGTTCCTGCCGAGTCGTGTGTGTGGACGTGGATAGGGAGGTCAGGATACTTCTCGCGAATACTACCAATAAGCAGGGTTGCGGCTCGGGGCTTGAGAACACCAGCCATGTCCTTGATTCCAAGGACGTGGGTTCCCATAGCCACAATCTTGTCAACAATCTTGAGATAGTACTCAAGGGTGTATTTCTTTTTGTTTGGATTCAACATATCCCCGCTATAGCAAACTGTGGCTTCGCAGACTCCTCCAGCCTTGAGAACAGCTTTTACACCAACCTCTAATTGATCGAGGTCGTTCAAAGCATCGAATACACGGAAAATGTCAACTCCGTTAATCTTTGCCTGTTTAACAAAGTGATCAATCGCATTATCCGGAAGCCTAGAAATTTTAGATAAGTTATTAGGAGGGACACTCTCAGTATTACTTACGATGAGTATGCAACTCCATTTGCTCCACGAAGCAGCATCTGGAAAGGAACATTCGGGACCAATTTCCTCAATTTCCTCTAAAAGATGGTTAGTAGTTGACCTTGGATTGGGGATCGGAAAAACAGCAACAAAAGAACAGGGCATTACCAGTCTGTCCCATGGGTCTTCGTAAAGGAACCTCATCGCTACATCAAAGGTAGCACCTCCCCAGCATTCCAAACTATAAGCGTTAGAATAGGCATAACTTGTATGCTTCGCAATGTTTACCAAGTCACAAGTACGGACTCTGGTAGCCAAAAGAGACTGGTGTGCGTCTCTCCATGTAGTATCCATAAAGAGAGTACCCTTGTTCTTGCGGATGGCTTTGGCAAAACCTTGTGGTCCCTCCTTCTCAAGAATATTACGCCAACCAACCTGACAGGGATAAGTGACATCAATTACTTTGCCATTCTGGTCATAAAGCTTCGGCAAAACGATGTCTCCTGTGAATTTGGGAGCACCAATTTGGCCCTTGATGCTACTGCCATTAACAGCTAAATCGGCCAGGTATGCTAACAACTTCTGGGCACGGTTTTGTGATTTCATTAGAGAAAACAGCTCGGGGCTAAACTAGCAATCAGCCCACCTGAACCCTGGAACTTGTTGAGGGGGGGTAACCGCTCACGTATCATCAATGAATGTAGTCCAACAATAGCCCCCAATGAAGGTATCATGGGTAAGTAGGGAGGCCAAGAATGGGATATTAGTTTTGACACCACGGATTCTGAACTCTACCAGTGCACGCAACATCTTTCTGCGAGCAATCTCGTAGGAGGACCCATGGCAAGTGCACTTGACTAACATGGAATCATAATGAGGGGTGATAATTGCCCCCGCAAAACCGTTACCACCATCAAGGCGGACACCGTTGCCGCCCGCAGAACGGTACACCTCAATTTTACCGGTATCAGGTCGGAAGCCCTGCGATGGGTCCTCAGTAGTAACACGGCATTGTATAGCGAAACCACGGGTAGAGATGCGGTCCTGAGTCAAGCCCAATTGCGCAAGCGAAGCCCCTGCAGCAATTTGTATCTGAGCGGCAACAATGTCGATGCCGGTGATTTCTTCAGTGATGGTATGTTCCACTTGGCTGCATCATTTAGTCAGCAAGAGTTCTCCATCACCGTGCTGGATTGTCTTACATTCTAGGGTTGATCTCAATGAAGTAATATCGGTTTTGCTGATCGACCAAGAACTCGGCAGTACCAGCATTTCCTGGAAACCGCAATATTTAGTGGGGCTCAAAAGCTATTCGCTGGGGCAGACGTACGGTAGTTCACTGATTTTGCCAACCTAACAGCGTCCTCAAGGATTGAGGCTCGGACCTCCTGGGGGAGATCCTTGGCGGGGGCAATCTCAACAACCTTTTGATGCCTTCTCTGAACACTGCAATCACGCTCGTACAGATGAACAACATTTCCGAATTTGTCACCAAGCAGCTGAACCTCGATATGTTTAGGGCGGTCCAAGAAGCGCTCGATGAAAACAGTTCCGTTCCCGAAAGCTGCCTTGGCCCTATTGCATCATTAGTTACGCTTCACTGTTTGGATAAGCTCTACCGATAAGAAACTTACTCCGAGGTTGCTCTATTGAAGGCATCCTGGAGGTTTTCACCCTCCCTCACCACTCGCATACCCCTACCACCCCCACCAAAAGCTGCCTTGATGATGACGGGATATCCGTATTCCTCCACAAACGCCTCCGCCACAGCAAGATCCTCCACGGGCCCTGGAGTCCCAGGCACCACCGGAACATTGCATCTCTGGGCAAGTTTGCGCGCAGAAACCTTATCCCCTAAGCCATCGATAACCTCCGGAGTGGGTCCAACAAACTGTAACGCGAACGGCTTGTTAGAATCAAACACACTTGGAAAGCGCAGGGAGGGATGTCCAGCTCACAATCATGCCAGATTTCTCAATTTTGCGGGCGAATTCCGCATTCTCGGACAAGAATCCATAACCGGGATGGATCATATCAACACCATGCGTCAGGGCGATCTTCACAATCTCATCAATCTGGAGATAGGCCTGAACGGGTGTGAATTCTCCCCTTGCGCCAATCTCGTATGCCTCATCAGCCTCTAAAGGTTTTCTCAACTCATCAGCAACCGGGTCTCCCCGCTGTCTCCAAGAGGCTCATACTCTGACGATGCATGCTAAGACGATCCTCATGACTGTAAATGGCAACGGTTTGTAGGGAGAGTTCGTGCGCCTGTAACCTATTGCGTCAGGATATCTACCCGCGACAACCGAGGTATGAGGCAAAACTCACAGTTCTAAAGATCTGTCCCGCACAGACCACCCAGGTTAGCAGACAAATCACGAGCAATCTTGGTGGATCGCAAAACGTACACGAATCGCTACAATAAAGATCAAATCAACCAATTGCCCCACAGTGAAACGTCAAAACCAACAAACATCCAAAGAGGGAAACTTACGAATTTCACCACGATTGGCAACTGATAACGCCGACGGTAATGCCCCAAGTCAGCAAGCGAACAATTCCGGGACAACACCGGGTAAAAGGGCGTGGGGAATGCGAGAAAAAAGAAAAAAGATAGGAAGGCAAACCTAAAATCTTGTTGACCTGCATGATAGTAGAATTAGCACGGAGACGGTGCACGGTGCGCACGGTCGAGGAGTCTGCAGCATCCTCAAAGACCTGATTAAACTCTTTGGTATCCATGGCTTTGGAATCCTGTCAGTACCGACAGACGTCAAGGAGATACGGTAGAAAAGGACCCGGGCTTGCTTTGAGGGTGTGTAAGAGGAAGAGAAGAATTGCGGGGGAAAGTGGAACAGGAGTGGGGGGGGGAGAAGCAGAGAAGGTCAAGGTGGAGGAGGAGGAGGAGGAAGTGGGAAACTTGAGTGTGTATGTGTTTTGTCCCGGGGAGTACGATGGTATGCGGATAAGCGTTGTGGGGAAGTCTGTGAAGAGAACTACGGTAGAGATGGAAGGGGAGATTGGGACGATGGGTTTGAGGAGGCCTTGGAGGAGGAGGAGGAGGGGAGGATTTAGCTTTAGCTTCGGCAGTGGCAGTGAAACGTTACAGTTTTTTTTTTCCCCCTTTCCCACCGGTACTGGCCTGGTATGTGTCCCGACTTGGGATTGACAAACAAGCGAAATTGGAAATGGAAGTTACCAAGGTTTAGTCTGGTGCTCCTTCATCTCGGTGGGTCTGATCTGCTCGAGCATCTAGTTTGGCTGGCAAATGCACGGTGTCACAAAACAAGCAAGCAAAAGGGCGATGGGATACCGTACTGCTTGAAAACTACGCTTTCACATCTGTGTACGGTATCGGTGTGAGACTTTGTCCCGGTGGGTCGGTGGTGGTGGTGGTGATGATGATGATGGAGATGGTGGTGGTGGTGGGGTGGGATGGGTTGGCATGATGGATGGTGGGGTATCGTGCATCGAACGGAAAGGTCCCCCAATGATTTGTCGGAGGGCACAAGACGGTGGCAAGGCCCAACCAGAAATCCTGCGCTGATAGGCGGTGCGGCAGAAGGCCAAAAACGTGCCGAGTCCTTATCAGTTGCGGCTGCCGTACTGTGCCACATAATGAATGCCACCAATCAACCGACCAACTCTGAACGTAATTCCGACCACCAACGGTCAAATAATTTTTTCCTCTGAGGCCGTGATTGTGTTGATGGCGAATGAGCAGCTACAGGACCACCAAAACTGACACCGGATTCCCAGAATTACACATAAAATGCTTAAATATGTGCCAATTTACATGACATACCAGTATCATACGCGCTGGACCACAACTCACAATTCGCACGCACACACCCACACACAAGACGGAACCCAATATCAAGCAGAACAGGGCAAAAACCCGTACTCCTGGTTCTGACTCCCCCTCCCTTCCCTCCCTCTTCTTCGCGCCTCATCCCTCATCTCGAAAATTTACATCTAGCGACATCCTCCCGCATAACAGCGCCGGCAGGTATCGGTAGAGGCGTAAAATGTATATAAATAATGGGGAAAAGAGCGAGGGTAACCTCGGCCTGCCCTCGGCCTGCAAGTGCCTCCGTGCTCCGTGGTTCTCCGCCAAATTATCGTTGGCGAATTTATCGTATATACCCTTCCGAAACAACATCAGAGAAATTTGGTAGGACACTACAGCGAATTAATCACAGCGATATCCCCACGAGTATTTCGTCTTACCCCCCCCCACCTTCACCGATTGCTCCTTCTCCTCCTTCCCTCCTCCTCCTCCCCTCCACCACCACCCACCACACCCACGGGCCGCGGCAGTCAGTTAACAGAATTCCCACCGCCACCGAATTAATCGATGTCGTGCATTTGTCGGTGTCCTTGGAACTGCGAGATGAGGAGAAACGAGGGAAGGTAAAAAAGAAAAAAACTAGCGGTACTGTGCTACCATTGCTACCAATGATTAACTACCGACACCGCATGTCGGCGACAACCACAGCGATAGCATTTTTCCAAACGAATTACAAGTATTATATGTCCCACCATGACATGCGTGCCTAGCATGCTGTTAACGTTATCTCAAGTTACCTCAAACCAAGCTGCCGATTACCCATTGCAGGCTGCGCTCCCAAGATTCCCCGCATTGCTTACCCCCCCTTTTTCGACGGGCGGATACCACCCAACTTGCTCTCCTTTATATGTTCCCAGACGCACAGCATCAAGCGGCTACCCGGGGAGACCGCCCACACCACACTGCTGTGCTCGAACACTGTGCACTAAGGCCCCGTTCGGTTGAGCTGTGAGAAAACTACGAATAAAATATATAGAATAGGAAAATCTCCACAGAATTGAAATTAATAAGAATAGTGTTCGGTGAACCAGGTTGAGTGTAATAATTGCATCATATCTTGGCTGAGCACTTGGCATGGCACAGCCATCTTATCAATAAGCCTTAACCTTAAGGAACAGTGACAACCAGACTCGGAGCAAATACAACCACATCCTCAGTACTATGTCATTACCTACCTCGAAAAAGTCCGAAGCGATTGAAGCTGCCAGACGTGCCAGATGGGTTGAAGGAGAGCAGCGCACCTTGGTTGAGACATTGGTTGAGGAGGTACGCAATGGAAAGAGGGCTGAAAATGGATTTAAGCTAGTGACTTTTGCGGTGGTGCAGAAGAAAATCCATGAGAAGCATGGAAGCCTTTATGAGATACAACAAATCAAGAATAAGTTTAATGCGGTAAGTGAATAAATATTTCTTTGCAATCTACTCACAAGATAAAATAATTAAGATATGTACAGATTAAAAAGGACTACGATGTGTTTAAAACACTAAAAGCCCAGAGCGGATTTGGTTGGGATGAGGCTACGCAAAATGTTACCGCCGATGGAGAGGTTTGGGACAGATATTTAAAGGTAACTCTTTTCCAATAATAATATATAAGAGGAGTTTCAAATAATATCTAAAATTCAAATATTTTAGGCCCATCCATTAGCGAAAAAATTCCGCAAAGAGCCATTGAAATGGCAGCAAGAGTTGGACGAACTATTTACGGGAACTCGAGCAACGGGGAATAATGCAATTATTCCATCACAGATATTTCAAGAGGGTAGTCAGGTGGGAGGAAGTTACAGTAGAATTATAGGGTTAGACCTTGATGAAATTGAGAGTGAAGGATTAAGAGACAAGAGGCAGACGGAAGAAACTCAGATTGGAGGTATGGAGTCAGAGGAGAAAGATATGGGAGCTGGGGAACTTGAAGAGAGGGGAAGTACTGGTAACACAATACATCAAGGGCAAGCCAAAAAGCGAAAAAGGGAGCGGTCAACAAAAGAGTCGGAAATAGCGAATGCTCTCCTCCAGCTTGGTAGCATAAGTGGTGAATTAAATAAAGGGAAGACAAAGCGTGCAGTACAGGAACTGATGGAAAAGTTCATGGAGATCTTAAACGATGATGAGATGGTAGAGGCTGTGGGAATAATGGAAGATATAAAGAAAGCAGAAGCTTTTCTAGGGATAAATAATATGAGATTGCGTGAGAAATGGCTGCAAAAACAGCTGCTCTCATAAATGTATCAATGAAGGCATATATCAGAAAGCATTGATATTTCTGGTGTTTTCTTTCCCAAGTACTGTTCTCTCAGAACAACATTATTCAAAAATTCATATGTTCTATCTATTTTGTTACCACTATCCCTCCATTCTACATCCCCTGTTGGAACCTTCCACAGCTACCACAAACTCATGACCATCTTGTTCTGAGCTAACATTGCTTGCACGCTCCACTATTCTTTTGTTGCTCGCTCAAGCACTATTTTCACCACTCCCTTACACCTGCTCACTATAGCATACCTAAGGGGTGTTCAGCCTTCGGTATCTGCTCCATAGAGGTCGGCGTTGTCCTACCTAAGTAGTATTTTCGCTGCTCCCTCATACCCTTGCCCTAGCGTATTGGATGGGTGCTCGGCGTTCCGTATCTGGTCTGTTGAGATTGATGTCATCTCGTCCAAGCAGTATTTTCACCACTCCCTCATACCCATTCGCAACAGCATATCAGAGCGGCGTTTGGTGTTTGGTAGCTGGTTAGTCGGGATTGACATTGTCCCGACCTAGCAGTATTTCCACCACTCCATCACACTCGTTCAGCATTACATACCAGAGGGGCCCGGGTATTTGGCCTTTGGTATCTCGTCAGTTGGGGTTCACGTGGTATCGCTCAAGTAGTATTTTCACTATTCTTTCTATCTGGCCTATCACAGTTAACATCTTCTCGTCCCAACAGTAGCTCCCCTGCTTCATCACGCTCATTCTTCACAGCCCATAAGCATGGTATTCGGCTAACACTATCTGGCATATCGGGGTCGATGTCTCCTTGTCCTAACTGTAGCTTCACTACTCTATCATGCCCTTTCACGGAAGCCAGCAAGAGTGGCATCGGGCCGGCGTTATCGTACATAGTGTTTGTTATATAGCGGGGCGGGATGGGTTTCGTACTCGGGGGCCCCGCCGTTACAGGGGCCCAGGGGGGACTTTTCAAAGGTAGTCCCTACCCCGCCCCCGTCCCGGGCCCGACCCCGCTCTTTCCCTAAACGGGGCCCCATTTCCCACCTGCTAAAGTAGACGGGGGGCCGTCAGGGGCATGGGCGGGGCAGGGCCCTGGGCGGGTGACAGGGTGGGGAAATCCCAAAAAAATCACCCTACCCCAGGCTGGTGAGTGGGCCGGGGCAGGGAACAGGGCCGGGGGCCTGGCTTTTTCGGGGCCCCGGAGGCCCCGTAACGAACACTAGTCGTGCGTACTAGGGTTAATATCTTTCTGCTCCAACAGTTATCCCACTATTCCCTCGGATCCACTTTCTGCACCCGACGTGAGTGGTGTCTGACCATTTTTGTCTGTCATATCAATGCTGACATCCTCTTGTTCTAATAGTACTCCCACCACCCTCCTATGCCCCCCACTGTAACGTGTTCGCACCGGGGTGCTAATCACACTTCCGGGTACAATAGGAGTAGCGCACAAGTTGATCTACAACCTATGGGCGTACTGCGCTAAGGGAGGCTCCGAGAGAAAGATATAAGGAATAGGGACTTTGAAGAGGTAACCGTTCAACCAAGTATATTAGAAATACTCTGTCCGTCGAAGTCTGCTGTTCCTCTAAGGGACTCAGCGGTCTTTAAATACAAACTTCGTCCATGTCCTGCATGGACGGATTTTCAAATCCTCTGTGAGCAACCCATAACACAAACTGAGTATCAAAGGATACTCGAAACCCCAAGTAAAACAAACTGAGTATCAAAGGATACTCGAAACCACAAGTAAAACAAACTGAGTATCAAAGGATACTCGAAACCACAAGTAAAACAAACTGAGTATCAAAGAATACTCGAAACCACAAGTAAAACAAACTGAGTATCAAAGGATACTCGAAACCACAAGTAAAACAAACTGAGTATCAAAGGATACTCGAAACCACAAGTAAAACAAAACTTAAAACAAATCCTGGAACCGAACGGACTGAACTCCAGTTCCGGTTACATTCCCCAAAACAAAACATCTGTTTACTTAAACAAATCAATAATCTCGAAAATCAAAATCCTCATAAAAATCCTCGCCATATTCCTCATCAGCGAGCGCCCAATCCCCATCACCAATACAAAACACACAAGTCCGCAATTGCAAAAAACAATTGGAATAAAGGAAATGAAAATCACAATAATCGCGGATACCTGCCGCTCTTTCCCATACTTCCACCAGTAGGTCTTCGCAATTCGGGCAGTAATCAACCAAAAGGGTATCAAAGTAGTTTTCAAGTAGGATAGCACCGCGGTCTACCAACAGTCCCACTAGCTGATGGCGTAGCCTCACATTTAGTTCCTCATAGTTTTCCATCTTTAAGGTATTCGGATAGAGAGCGTGCCATTAGATAAAGGTGTCTATAACATCTGCCATCGCTTGGTCTTCGTCACTGCTGCTTTCGAACTCGTTTGCGTCATAGGGAGCCCAGAAATCCGGTCTGGTAGGAGGGTCTTCGTGTATTCGTTGTGTGGTGGGTAAGGTAGGTGACCAAGCTATCGTTATATGGTTGATGGTGGGAGGTAGTCGTTCTCCGGGCATGTTGGCTTCCCACCACTCATGCACAAGAGTCATCGCATTCTCGATTCCTTCCACTGGCTCCCAGCTATTCTCCGAGTCTGGATAACCTTTCCATTTGATCAGGAACTGATCGGTTCCATAGCGCTTTCTATGGTCAAGGATCTCTTCCACTTCCCATTCCTCCTGGTTGTGGATAAGTAGCGGGGCTGGCCGGGAGTGGCTGCGTCCCGGGAACCTGCTATCGTCATTTGGGTGCCATCTCTTAACTGTAGTTGAATGAACCACTGCTTTGCCACACCGGTACATCCGTCCTTCTAGCTTGATGGTGTAGTTCTCGGTATTGCTGTCGAATTCCAGCACTTTGAAAGGACCTCGCCAGCGGGGTTGGAGTTTCTTGCTTTTGCCAGTTTCAGGACTAAACAGGTTTCCATGTACCATGACCATGGCACCCGGGGGTATGGCATGATGTAATCTCCGTTTCTTTTGTGCCTTTGTTGTGTTTCGGAATCGGGCGGTTCTTAGTGCCTGATAGGCATCATTCTGGAGGGCTTCCTGTTGATTGAGGTGGTTGTCAGATGCCGGTACTGCAGAGTCCTTGAATAAGGTGCGGGGTAAGAGGGGGTAGTTTCGTCCATATATGGCTTTGTAAGGGACCGTGTCAATAGTACTAGAGTACATTGCATTGATGTATGCTGCTGCTTCCGGAAGGGCTGGTTCCCAGTTGTTTTGTCGTTTGTTGACTATGTTCCAGAGGCCTGTCTTGACTTCTCTAAACTTTCGCTCCACTTGGCCGTTCGTTTGGTGGTGGCCTGGTGCGGCTAAGATGTGTTCTATTCCCATCGAGGTTAAGGTTTGCCTCCAGAACTTCGATGTGAACTTAGGGTCTGCATCGGTAACAATTGAGAGGGGGTGGCCATGAGGAGTAAAGACATTTCGCCGTAGCAGATCCCATGTATCTTGGGCTGTGGACGATGCAAGGGTGGGTATGAGCCAGGTAAATCCAGAGAAACGATCCAGTGCAACTAAGATAGTATCATATCCACCGGATTTGTTGAAGGGTCCTGCGAAATCTATAGCATATGACTCAAATACGTCAGCAGGTAGCTTCAGCGTTCAGGCATATCCTTCCGGTAGGGTGGTAGGTTCCTTATTCCTTTGGCATTCTTCACAAGTCTTCGCATAATGTTTGAAATCATTACGCATTTCCGGCCAGTACAGGTATTCTGAAGCATAATGGAGGTTCCGGTCAGCGCTAGCATGGCCTTTGTCATGGATTTCGCTGATCAGGTATTCCCGTAGTGTCTTCCCATTCACTAGGTGGCCATCGGGGACATAGAGGGCTTTGTTGCCATATCGGGTAGGGGCATATATCATTCCATCCGAGATTTCGTAGAGTTTAAGGTCTCCAGTCCTTCCACTGTCAAGAACTTTGTGGTAGAGGGGGTCGCAGCGGTAGGTTGATTCTTGAGGTTGTTCGGGTCCTTGAAGGTGATGCGGTGGTTTACGGCGCGTATGGGAGGTAGCTTCTCCGGAATCTTGTCAGGAAAGACATCCGCAAATTCTTCCAGTAGTTCATGGACTGTTGATTCGCATACTGCAGCTCGGTATTCCCCACTGGTAGAGGTGCAGGATACTCAGACTTTCTTGTCTGGGAACTCTATGACAGACTCGCCACATCTGATGACTGCATTGTGCCGGGTTAGGAATGGCATCCCGATAAGGGCATCGAATTTAGCTACATTTCCGAGCAGCATTTTGTGTTCAGGGAACTTGACAGATCCTAGCTGGATTAAGACATTTGCGGTTTTATGGCTAGTGGAGCGGGATCCTTTTACCGCCATAGCAACTGGGATCAGTTGTTGGAGGGCTTCGGTTTTGAGTCCATGGGTAGCTGCAAAGGTGTTGCTGATCATGTCTGTACCGATAGCTCCGGTATCAAAAAGGACTCGAGCAGGGTGTCCATTAATTTGGATAGTTCCTTCTAGTGCTCGGTGGGGCTTCTTGCCGGGTTTCGGCTGTATGAGGAAACAATGTGCTTCCATGGTATTGATTTGCACATCCTCATATTCCTCTGGTTCGATGTAGTTTGCTGCGGGTTCCTTTTTGATCCCCTTTCCTTTCCCCTTCTTTGTTGGACAATCTCGAGCCATGTGTCCGGTCTTTCCACACTCGAAACATTCTCCTTTTTCTCTTCGTTTCTCCTTAGTGGACTGCTTCGCATTTTTCTGAAACTTGGACTTC